GGGTCTGATTTTGACCTTAATTCACAATTGGTCCTCTCTTAGTATCAATTCTTCATATTTTGACATAATTTTTGCTAACACCTATGCTTAATTCCTTCTTAAAAATGTCTATATAAATTATTTATTTTATTTATTTTGATTTGGCTCAATTAAGTTTCTACAAAGTAAATAGAAGTTTATTCTTCAAAAAGGCAACATTAACATTTGTTAATTTTTACTACCTTCTTGTCAATTATTTATATTTTTAAGATATTTTATTAAAGCATTCTTAGTTAAGCTCTTCTATAATATAATCTTTTCTTTCTTCTTTCACTATATGGTCATGTAACTACATGATACCACACAAGTATTCAATTAAAGGCACTTAATGCCATAATGTCAAAGACATGATCCTCAAAGAACTAAAATGTGAATACACTCTTGTGACACTAAAAAAGATTAAAAAGTCATTCAAAGATGATATAGTATTAAATTAGAATGGCTATTGCCAAAGACAAGAAGATTAGAAAGTCTTGAGACAAAATTAAGGACTAAAAAGGCATTGACAAGAATGAAGAAGGTTTTTTTCTTACCTCCATATATACTCTTAACTAGGAGTTATATAGCCATATCCTATAGGACGTACTAAACATGTTGACTTTGCAAGATATATATCTTATCTTGCCAAGCAAGTTTACTATATGTACACCACATAATTAGCTTGTTTTGTAAGCTATATCTACATAGATCACTTATTGATCAAATTTCTATCCGATCAATCATCTACAAATACGTATAAAGTCAAAACAACATTTATGAAGCTTCTAAGAAGCTACTTTAGAAAATATTATAAAATAAATCTATTTTTATCTATTTCTACTTATTCATATAGATATATATTATAATAAATATGTATATCCGTGACACATAGCCCTCACAATATTAATATCTTTTTTGTACTTATCATTTTAATCGTCAATGTAGTTGATTCATTCCAACTTATTTGTGTATTGATACTTGATATTGTTGTACTTCGTGATGGTGTATGAATTGTATTTACTTGGATCTTAGAAAATCCTTCCCAAATTTACTCATTTATTGCACTAATTAGAACTATCTTATTGCATTGTGGCTCTTTGTGCACCTACTATACACATTGATAGATAACTTCTTGTAACAATTTGGTAGAGCTTTTGTAAGTAATACTACATCTTCTTTATTACAATGAGGCAAATATTTTCATTACATGTTTTCCACATCTTTAAAGTTAATTGAAGATCCACTAAACAAATCTACAACCATCTTTTACATAGAAAAATGTAATCTTTTCAACATATATATACTTTTACAAGTCTAAAAAGGCCCAACATATACATTCCTATAAAAAAAAAAAAGATAAGCTAAGTTAATTTGGATTAAATATATATATATATATATATATATATATATATATATATATATTAATAATATTTTTTGACTTTAAATAAAATTCTTTAATTTTGGATAAAAATAATAACTCATTTACATAAGATATTCAAGCATATTTTGTATATTCCAAAGTCAATGGTTAAAGAATATGGTATCAATGAATTTGAAATCCTTACAATTTTATCACTTATTAACTTTAACAAAACACACCAAAATACACCAAAATTCATATTTTGGCTAAACTTAGCATATCAATCTATTAAATTAATACTAGATATATAGTAAGATCTTTTTTAGTAATAATAAATAGAAAAAACTTCCAAAAGAATATAAAAACTCTACAACAAATATAATAAGTCAAGCCACACATAAATATTATAAAAGTGTATTAATTTACAATGAGGGAGGCAAGATACTCAAACTCTTCCTTCAAAGGCTCAACTTAAAAAAGATGAGTCATTTTAGGATTTTGGAGTACTTAAATACCATGGGACTTAAATGGGTAGTTAAAGACTTCCAAGACCTCCTTCTAAGACCTCTTCTAAGATCTAAAACCTAAGTCACACACTTCTAATAACTCCATGCTCTACAACATATTTTAATGTATATCACTATATTCTTGACAACATTTATAAAAATAAATTTAAAATAATTTATTAATAAATAAAAATAGATGTAAAAAAATCTATGCCTAATGGAATTATAATTTAAAATAGTTATAAATATGTAACAACAAGAAGTAGTTTATATATCTATAACTGCATTTATATGTGAATGTGTGCATGTACTAACTTATATATATATATATATATATATATAGTCATTTATTAAGATGTATCATTTATGATTTTCCTACCTATGTATTGACTACAAAGAATATTTTAAAAGGAATAAAAATGAGAAATAATATCCAGTTTAAAGTTGGTAACATGACACTATTAAATTTTTTTAGTGCCTTCAGTAGTAAAGAAACGATTCTTTTATAAAAATTCACAAAAATAAAAAGTACCAAACCAAAAGTATTTTGATCCCTAAACAAATTGCAATGAATTCTTCATATCATTAAATTTTTAGAAGAATTAGAAAAAACATAATAAAAAAATTAAATAAGATTAAATAATTAATGATAACTAAAAATAGGTATTATTTTTAATTCATTTTTAAACACTAGAAAATGAAAAGATAGAAGATAATTTAATTTTTAAAAATCTGCATTTGTTTCTACTAAATTTTTATTTCATAAGTATTAAACATCAACAATGTTCAAACTTTTCACATTTTTATTTAGAATAAATCTCAAAAATACTAACGAAAAAATGACCTGCACTTAGATGTCATATGCACGCACAAGTCCATTCTCCATATTTTGCAAGTCATCCTGAGCACGAATGAATGAAGAGACACGGATGGATGAAAACGTGTATATGCATGCGACGATCCGAGCCGTCGATCTCGTGACGTACCCTGAGCGCGTATCAAGAGAGTTATGCAAGCATGTGATTCTGCAGCGATTATTAAAGCGCGTCGGTGATGCATGATCGTAGATTTCGCGTAATGGTTTGCTTTAAGCTCATTTTTGGCACAGGAGGTTTGCTGTGCCAATCCTGGCCGTTGCGTGTTGGTTGGTGGATCGGTGAAGCAAATGCCAGGAACTCGACTCCGCAAATCGAGTTCACCCTCAGGTTAGCTCGCAGCCAACTGATGGATGTGCAAGGTGCGTACCTCCGATGTGGTGTCGATCAGTGCCTCTACCGTGTTTTCTTGATGTTTGTTGTGACTCTGACTCGTTCCGTTTCTATGAAAGGATTGAGTTTGGTGAGGTATCCGACATGGGTTAGATATGTCTTCTGTGGCTCTGCCAGTCGGTTCTGTGATGCCATATTGCGGTTGTGGACATGCCAGACATTTGTGAAGATCCTGGAGTGAAATCCGTGTGTGCTTAATCATTTAACGAATTCCCTTCGACTTGGGTAATTAGTGCTTTGTTAGTAAGTGCATTGATCGAAAGTTGGACCTGACAAAACCGCAGCCAAGGATGAAGGAGTACCCAGTCGAAGGGGGATTGTGAGGTTTTAACCTGCTGGTGGATTTCTTGTTGGAGAGATTGGATAAAGTTGTGTTCATTAACTGCATCTGGCGTTACTAGAGCGCAGGTGAGAAATGTAGCGAAGATTGGTGCATATATTCCACTACTTGTGTAAGACAACATCGAGGGTATGTGAAAGCTAACTTGATGCATATTCCAAGGAGCAGTAGCTCTCCATCAAGGTGGCGACGCCGAAGCCGTATCATTGTCGACGCGGTGGATCAGAGAAAGGAATGGTGTGCTCCACCATGTGACATGTTACCAATACAAGTGAGGTAGATTTAGAGGTAATCTTTTGAAACCTTTCCTTTGACACCCTCTTTTTGATCACAGTGATATTTAGGATTGTAATTCTCTCCGCAAAGTCTACACCAGATATATGGTGCAGGTTAACTGGCTTTAATTTATTAATGCTCATGCAAGGCTTGGCGAGTGAGTAGACGATGATTGTGTTGAAAAATGTTGGCTGATGACTTTTCAATAACTGGGACACAAAACTGAGGTTGCGCACAATTCTTTTATATTTAAAAATTTCTAAGCTTTTTCTTATGACTTCTTGAGACTTCTGTTGACACAGTAATAGCTAAATTATTCGATAATACGAACATATACCTTCAGGATCGAGTGACTTGCTCACCTCTTATTTTGGTGATTCGTTTTTTAACTTGATTGTGAAAGATCGAGATTCTGTACTCATTGGACTTATCAACAAATCGCAAAAAATGGAAGGTGGTGACGAGATTGATAAAAAGCTGGATAACTCCCCTTATCCTTTGTGGTGATAAATGTGTTAAAACAATCTAACAGACGGTGTCGTATTGCTTAAAGTTTTGGACTATTGTTTCTTTGATCATGGATTCTAGCACGCAGAATTTCATGAGCCAGTCACAAGTGGACATATATATTGATGTCAAAAACACCAGATAATGACCCCTCAGCGGTTCAAGATTTGGGCTCAGGCTATGTTGAGATATTTTCAATTGGTGATACAATGGTATAGTGCTGGCAACCTACTGCCTCACCTGGTCGTGTTTGAAGTTCCGGTTTTAGGTTGCATTAGTAGTGCGCAAGGGTCGCGAGGGAACTCAACGACAAGGCTGTAGACAACCACGACTCTTATTTTGTCGTTCTTTACGGCAGGACCTCCGTTGCCTACTCGAGACCACATTTTCGCATGGAGCAATAGTTTGGCGTGGATTTGCAAAACATAGCTCTTCAGGCACATTCATGCCTTAAAAATGAAGACAAGGATTCCATAATTATCTTCTCCTGCAGGACGACAAACTCTGGGAATGAACGAGAATTACACTTCGAATACGTGACGAACAACTGCAGATGATGTGGGTATGGGTACCATATTAACAATAAGGCATAGACATTTCAACACAATTCTGTGAACGAAATCATGCACTGACAAATAGAGGACGCCCTTTTCTCCAGGAATTTAAGCAGAAGGCTTAAAAAACAGAGCAGGATTCACAAGATAGGTCTCAATTTACTCCGAATCTGAAAACTAGGGATCGCTTCATCAACATCGACTGACCAATGAAACCTCGGTGAGACTTTTAGAACTAAATTTGGCCCAAGATGTTACATTCTGTTAGCCAAGATGCATAATACACCTGGAATACATTTCGATATACGATTGTTGTTCGTTTATCGTGCTCCTTAAAAAGATAATTGTATTGAGAAGGAGAAAAATCACCTCAAAGGCTTCAACAAAAAAAATGTTGTAAGACTTGAGTAGCAGTGCTCTGGTTCTGGGCTCATCAGCCTCCTCACCACCTATCACGCAGGTTTGTTGCAGTGTAGATAACCAGTCTATAAAGACGAGAAAGAGCAACTGATGGAATAGAGACACTCAATATTCTGAAGTTATTGCCACTTATTCTTTCCTGAAGATACCACAACAGGTGGAGTGTACTGCAGCAAATCTGACCTGTAGGGTATGTTCTGCAATGAAGGTACCACTTGAGATTGTCACATACCACTTCGCCGATATTTGAGTTCAGTCTGTGCTTGAAAACCCTTGGCATCTTCAATCATAGAGTTAAACACTTCTAAAAGTGAATCAAGACCAACAGTAGCAGGCTCCAGCATTTTCAATGCGCAGACAATGCTCTCGACAGTTGATAAACACCCCTCTTTGGGCTGCCGCCTTACAGGACCATACATACTAGGAGTCGAGAGAGGCAGATTATAATGTTGCAAATTGTGGAGCCAAGGGTTCTCGAAATAGATTCGCTTGGCCTTGGACCATGTACCGTCCAGAACTATAAAGTGGCTTGGGCAATCCATTCCTTCACAAAGTTCGGGTACCAGATCAATTGCCTTGTCACTGGGAAATAACAGCCCCACCCTGGGGGGCAAGTTCATCCAGGCAGGAATCAAATGAGGATCACAAGATTGCTGATGATCAGCTTCGCTCTCTTGAACATCTGGTGTCAATACTACTGCTGTCTGTGGTTCAAGCTTAACTTTTCCTTTATTGCCAACCCTGCCAGTTATGCTGCGCTTTGAACCAGGAACTTTTTGACGAATTCGGAAGGAAACTCTCTCATCAGTCTCAGGGATTGACAGTACCTGCACATTGCGCAGGCCCAAAGCGGCTATTCTTGCAGTTCCCAAGTGATGATCCTTCTCCTCTGGGTGTTGGAGAATGGTAATGCCGACTTTGTTATTTACAATCATCTTGATCCGAACACAGATGCAAAGAGACTGAGCTTTCCGACATGTATCGCAGAATGGTCGCCGAGCTGTGAAGCTTGTACTAGTGACGCCACCATTGTCATCATCAGAGGCATCAGTTTGAGCAGCTGGGCATCCCTGAAATCCCTCAGCTACTACAGTTGGTTCAATACCCGTCCCTTGCGTGGACTGCAGTGGCTTGTACACTACCTTGAGGCTTTCTCCCATGGCCTTACTCTCAATAGTGGAGGTTACGAGGGAATTTAAATTTGCAGCCGAAACAGACAACATCTGAGATAATTTTTTCCTAGGATGACATAGATAACTACATGACATAATGTTAAAGAGGCGCGGTCTCGCTAAACGATCAACCAGAAGCCCATAGCATCCCATTCGGCTAAGAGAACTCGTTAAGATGTAATATTACATTCGGTAGGATAAGACTGGAATATCATTGACGAGTACATGTCTAAAGACATCGACCCCAGGATTGTAGGATTCTATAAAACCAGGATCATCCCACAAGAAGCTCCTCAAGAACCTGCTTCATTTCTTACCTGCACAAAACGATGTCAATTACCACTACGGTCATCGGATCAAAGGAAATTAGAGGACAAAACTACGGAAACAAGTGACTTGGAGGAAAACTTGAGAGCTTTAAGTCGAAGAACCAAATCAATAAACAAAGACATGCTTATATCAGATACGAACTGATCGCTTCTGAAAGGTCCGACAGATTTATTAGTTAAATTGGAGAAACTGTGTGGGGCATCCCACTGTGCACAACGCGAATTCAACATTCCTCGCAAATTCTGAGACTAATCTCAGACCAAAGCCACGCGCCCTTTCAAACATTCTGAACCATTGAAACACTGTCACCAGTCCAAATGCGAACCCCCAAATTCCTGTCACTAGACATTGACGATAGCTTGCAACAGAGGAAAGGCTTTTATACAAACACAGAATCTGATTTGCTTCTGCGTGTCGTATTGAATTGCACCCAAAAACCATCAACATCACACCAAACCCTGAAACTTTCCAAATGCTCGCTCAATGCATCTTCATAATCAAAGATATCAAAACAAAACATAAAGCCAGCCCAAAACGTAGTATCAGGATAAAACCCTAACCCCCAGACACACGAGAAACACACCCTCGATTGAAGACTACGAGCAGATGCAGCCACCGCCAATCACCTCACCTTCAGTAGCCTGAGGAAATGCCCACTCTAAATCTAAGTCTTCCGCTGGATACCACCCGCAGCAGCGATTCCAATAGCTAACTGTCGCAATTCACCACTGCAGGCAAAATTTGAAGCTCCAAGTAATTCATCTTCTGGAGTCCCAGCCCTAGAATTCTAACCGAAACCCTAGCGAAGCCCTAGAACTTCAAGTTCCCATAACCCTTTAGCGGTTCCCAAGTATTCAAGGCCCTCTCTCTGGCTACCTCTTGTCTCTTATTTTTGTTTGCACGAAGCGGAATTTAGCAAAATACGAGTTGATTCGGTGGTGGGGTCTTCAGCAAATGTCCTCCTTTTCTTTATTCCTTACTTGTATCCTCCCCTGTAAATACCAAGTTTTTACTTCCTTATTTTCCCCGTTAGAGTGGAGAACATAAACTAGGGTCCTGTGTTAAAAAAAAACTTGTATTCTAAAATAATATAAATTAATTGTACAATTTGTTTCATTTTAAAGGAGATTGGAAGTCTAGACATACACAGTTGAAGAAAATCATTTTATTACGAAGGTGCTGGCCAATGTGAATACACAAGCACGACCAATCTCTTGATACTAAGCTTTGCCTAGACATCTTTATGGCCTTAAGCAAAAGAAAGATAATTGGATGATTAAATGATGTTAAGTGATTGACACTTGGTACATTATTTTTCATCGTCCTGCATCAAAAAACCTGAGTAAATTCAAGATTATCCTAAGTTCGTTTCCGAACCATAAAACGCCGAGAATCATGTTTCGCACTGTATTGTTTGCTTACATCTTTAAGCCTAATGCAATAGAGTCATTAATCCAGAGGAGTAAATTTGAGCGTTGAGAGATGGAACAGAAAACTACGAGCTCGGAAATGTGGAAGGAAAGACGGAGATAAGCAAGCCCCATGCTCTTTTTCTGGACCTGAGAGGCTCCCAGCCTCACACCTCCCCTCCGTGCAGAAGCGAGGGCACTGTTGCGCCATCCAAACTAAGATCAGATGGCGTCCACCCTACCCCCGAGTCTGTGGACACCCTTCACTCCATTGCCATCTCCTGGGTCCCTGCATCCAGCTGTGGGATTTCATACTCCACCCACTTGCTACATAATTCCTCTTTCTCCAGCCCCAGTCTCACTCACAGTTGCAATCCCCTGCTGTTTTTACAGCATTGATTGTAATTCCTGCTGTTGTTTTCTGTTGTGAGTCGATCCTACTTCTGAGCAATGGCGTCCATCACTGCTGCTTCCACCATGGTGGCCCCCGCTGCCTTTACGGCAGCTTCATCTGCTGCGTCCACCTCCGAGTCCGCCTCCGTCAAGGCCTTCTCCGGACTGAAGAGCAACACCTTGTTCGCTAGCAAGGCCCAGAGCTTGAGCTCCGTCCAGAACGGCAGCCGCGTGCAGTGCATGCAGGTGTGGAACCCCATTGGCATGACCAAGTTCGAGACCTTCTCTTACTTGCCCCCATTGAGCGACGATTCCATTGCCAAACAGGTGGAGTACATGATCCAGCAAGGGCTGATCCCTTGCCTCGAGTTCGACGTGGTAAGTTTCACGAACCTTGTCTGGTGCTGCATTGCATTGTTTGTTTGATGTTGGCTTATCATTTTTGTCTTAATGAGGAGTTCTATCGTTAGAATTTAAGCTCGCCGTCCTCCATTAATCTTCAGTGAAGGCTGTAAACCGCGAATTGACCAAACATGTCTTGGCTATCTTTGTGAAACAGAACGCTGACGGCGTGTCCCGCACCAACAACTCATCTCCCGGGTACTACGATGGCCGCTACTGGACTATGTGGAAGCTGCCCATGTTCGGATGCCAGGACTCTTCCCAGGTCCTGAGGGAGATTGAGGAGTGCAAGAAGACCTTTCCCGGATGCTTCGTACGTATCTTGGGTTTCGACAACGTGAAGCAGGTTCAGATCTGCGGTTTTTTGGTCGCCAGGCCCAACTAGAGAATTTGTTGAGCTCCTGACTCTAAAGGTCATTAGGTAGTTTCGAGGTTTGAAACCCTTGCTGTTGATGTACTCTACTTTCTGCTGGCTTGAACACGAAACTGAATTTCAAAACTCAGTTTGCACGAATGTGAAGTGTACTTTCCTATTCCTTTCTCCCTGTCTTTCGACTTTATGCAATGTAATCTAGCCAGAGAATTGATTTGTGCTTTCACATTCCTGACGTGAAGACATCTACATTCAATCTCCGAGATCGACTCTTCTACACCCAGTACTCTCAGGTTATGGTTAGAGTGGAGTGTTTCGAATTCGATTTGGAAATCCTTCAATTGCCGGTGGCCCCGTCAACTTGCTTATTAGACATTGCATACAGTTAAATATATATCTACCGTTGTAAGTCTCCACCAACCATGTTTGTGTAGAAATGTGGAAATTATAAAAATAATCTTTGTAATCTCTGCAACAGCTCGCTCAGAGTTCAAACTTGCATTACAACTGAATATTAAGCAAATACAAAAAATGAACATTCATGATAATAGGCGACTATTCCTCGTTCAACATACTGATCAAATCTGCTTGTGCAGCGACCTACAATTTATGACCACGCGTGAATTGTGACATGTGCAAGGAGTGATTTTAAGTACATTTAACATATAAAGTGCTCATCCTAATTCCAAATTCGATAGCATCAGGTTAACGAGGTATATCGGTTTTCTCGAAGAAAACCTTCAAACCACATCAACTTGTATGGGCGAGGAAATAAACACCGGCTCGTCGACTACGTTTTAAAAAACTGCAATTGCATCAGTGCATACCGATGAAGTAGAATTGAAATTTTTTCAAATACCAGCACTCAAACATTTTGATAAGACAGAACACTTCGTAACGAACAATCTCTATCACTGACAATGCAAATCACTTGCATGGCTGCACCCCTACCAATCGCCGTCACAACAGGGTACACAACCCAACTGCTCCATCTGTACCCACCCTTACACGAAAGCACTGCAATGGTTTAATTCATCAAAACGTCGTGTACAATGATCGTGACACGTCTCAACCCTAACTGTGCCAGACTGCAGTTCAACCATCAGGGTTTTTGTCATAGTCCATCACACGGCAAGATTCATTACAACTCTCATCAAGTCTGATGCATTTCACAACGCATGAATGAGAAGATTGCGACATCGAAGAGCTTTGCACCCCGTCTCTCTCACCGTGCCTTCTTGACCCTCAACAACTTCAGACTTGCTACCAGATAATGTTCTTCCAACTGCAAGGCATCTCGTGTTTGTTTACCGATGGATTGTATTCTGGTACGTCGATAGTTGTCATCCTCCTTTCAGCGCTGCCATAATCTGCAATCAATCTCAATCCAAGTAAACAGAACTCCGTCTTCCCCAAACTAGAGATTGTTGCCTGCTCAGAAACATTCTTCCAATGCTTGAAAAAATTCGAGAATGCTAGATGGTTACTTACCTCCTACTGGTCGAAGACCAGTTTTTGCTGGCGGCACAAAACCCGAATGCGCGGGGAAAGTCTGCCGCATATCTTTACCAATTTGCGACGTAGACCCACTTAGCCCTAAATTTGCTTCTGTTTTTTCTGGCAAGGAAGGCGCATTTGTATCACGGGAATTACCCAAATCCAGAGTGTGCTTCGTCTCGTCCATGAGAGTGAACGCTACATAGTTTTTCGATTTGTCCATTTCCTGAGTCGCCATCGTATCCTTTACCGTGATGGGCTCATTTGGATCCCTGGCCTTCTGTGTTCCAAAGGTTGTATCCGTCTTTTCTATCAACGTCGCCAAGTTGGGGTCACTTGACTTGTCCAATCCTAGAGTGTGCTTCGTCATGTCCAGCATCAAAGGTACGCTGTGATCCGCGGGTTCACTATGCAGGGCGCGCCAAGGGCTTGGATCCATGGGCACGCCCTGTGTGCGCTCGGACCAGTGACATTCGATCACCAATGCTTTAGGTTGTGAAAGGCAAATGATGATTGCACTACCTTCAATCTCAAAATCGACGGAGAAGTTGTTCGTTCCAGCAGAAGTGAAATCCTACCTCGGCTACTGAGGTTAGGTATGGCATTTGGTGAATGCGATCATTTGATTAATTGGGAGATCTGTCCCCAACCTTCCTGCCCTGAAAATTCTCTTCCAATGACGGTGACATTGATCGTGCGAAGTCATGGGTTCCTCCGCGTCCCGAAGTGTCATGTAAAAGACTTGATTCGAGGTCTCCGTTGTGCGACGCGTGGGGGGGATCCCAAGCTGGAGCTGTCGTTGTGGGCAAGTTCTCCTTCGCCGTTGCGATTGAACCGTCTCGGCAGTTGGTTCTTCACCTTCGCCTCCAATTTGGAAGTCAACTCCCAAACCTTTCCTCCACATGAATTAGGACCCCCACAAAGAAGCTTCAGAGCGTACCCATCATCCCTGAATGGCATAGAAAAGTAATTCAAACTCTTCACAACGAACAGGCTATGAAGTGGGCTTTGAACTTGCCAAGACTTTGCAAGGTGGTAGAGAACGCTGCAAAAACAACGCAAGCTGAAGTGTCAGAAAAAAGTGGTGAAAGTACTCGAAGAAGAAGAGGGTATTAACCATATGGCAACTATTTGACCAGCCTCCATTAAGACATGTAACAGTTATTTTGCAACCATCCGCCTGAATAGTTGACGAAGTTCTGGTCTTCTGGTATCTGCACTGCTCCGTTTGCTTCTTGGTGATGTAGCTTCGCTTGATTCGTAGAGGTCTTACTGAAACGCCGTCCCCGGTTCCTTCCTCCATTGAGAATTTTCTGAGTAACTAGTGTAGAGATTTCACGAGGCTCCAGATTCTACTCATTGACACATGGTTCCTTATCTCCACCCTGTACAGCGTGCTCAAAAGACTGGTTGAAGGGAACTCTGTTTATCAAGGTAATTCGATCATGCAACGTCGTCGTCATGATTTGCCTTATCCTAGAGCAAGTGCTAACAAAAAGCTCTGTAATTATACAATGTCGGTCGTTTCGCGATTGTGCTGCTTTCAGGAGCGTGTGTTCACGATCTTCTACAACAATTATAACAAGATGTAAGGAATTTCCACAGAGCGAACCGTAGGGCACACTGTACTTTCGCAATAGCCGACGAAAGCCTGACCTTTTGTCATTGCAAAGCCGGTTCACGGGCCAGAGCTTTTGCAATTGCATCAAAAGAATCAGGCATCAGCAATGGCCGAAGTACACATTCACTGAGTCTGCAAACCAGCACTATCGCGTGGTTCATGAGCATAATCTAAGTCGACTCGTATCTGCACAAGGCACAGTAATTCGTCACCGATAGAAGATAGTTGGAATCATTCAAGGGCTCTGTAGACTTGGATATTTCGCACAAGCATATGTAGGGAATTTTTAGACTTGCCCGAATAAATCGTTCAGAGGCGTGACTTGGAGCCAACTCTTTTTTGGGATATGATCCGAGCAGTCGCTCACGCACTTTAGCTCGACAATTCGCTACTTGGACGCAGATGAAGCCTCCCTGTTCAAGCACATAGACTCCAATATTTCATCACTGTTGTCCGTTCACTGCGCAACAGAACTGCGTGCTCGCAATTGACGTGATACTGCCAATTTCCTACAGATAATTGATCGCTCACTCGAATCCCAAATCATCGATCACAAGCTGGTAAAAGTTTGAAAGCAGTGACTGAAGGTGCCGAAAGAGATTATGTGGTTGTGTTGATATTTATGAGGCTTTCGTAGCTGAGCTCAGTGATGTGTCAAAAGCATGAGCTTCGTAGGGTAGGAGTTGATGAGAGAGGGGGTTCTTCCACAGACCCCTCAGACGAAGATCAGACGAAGTTGTGTACCACAGGAATGCCACCGTTTCCGAGCGCACAGGAGCTTTCACATCTTTTCTGTGATCTAGGGGAACGATTACGACTGCAGTTAGTGAGAAAGAAGTGTGAGACGAGTTTGAGAGCACAAGGGCGGTTCAAAAGGGGAAAGAGTCGAGGGAAGAAGACGATCATTGGCCAATGAATCCACTGCCGAGAATTCCACGGTACAGTAACTTAGCGCAACGGAGCAACTCAGAAAATAAGTCAATTGGAGTTGAGACGGAAGTGAAATATGTAATGAAGGGAAATCGCTCTTGGTTCACTTCAATGTCAGCCCGAACTATTACACACATGAAAATAGGGATGCTGTGAAGAAATGAAGCGCATCACTCTTTGGATCCTCAAAGAATCAACATCTGAAATCAATGCTTGCAATCTTCACAGTGGAAATCACACAACAACTCCCAGACTGGCAAAATATCTGGACAAAAAAAATCACGCAATACAACCAATGCTTTTCATGGTGTGAATCGATTCTTCTAGCAACCATTTACAGTGCTGCAGAATCATTCCCCCCCGCAACTAAGACTCGTTGTAACAAAAACCCAAGACTCATGATCTACTGCTTGAAAAACTCATCCCAAAATCAATCAGCTCCACCATGAGATGGCTAGTTCTCACCTTCGCACCACTTTCACTAAACATCACTTTCACCGACACCCAGGGGATGAGCATTACACTTGCGACGGAAAAAATGCAAAGACGTCAACAACAAAAGAAGCCCCACAAGTAAGGCACTGCTCCGATCACACCCGAAACATCGCACAGCTTTGGATTAAACCGTCTGCCTGTGCAGCCCATCGATCACAGTGGAATGCCCACGGAGGAGAAGAACATTCCTTCAACACTCATGGAAGATGTTGAGATGGATTTTAAAGATGCATTTCGGATGGTAGGGTACAGGCGAAATTCGTGGGTGGGTGGCGGTATGGCAAGAACATGTGAGAAAGATGCTTTGATGCATTACGGATGACGGAGGGCTGGGCAGATACGAACCCTCGAATAGATCCTCGCAAACTCGGCCAGAAGCAGAAAATTCCGTTCGTCCCCGCCTGCCAGTTCTGGCCACGACCTGAACCGGATGGGCGTGATCAGAACCCTCGAACCCTCTAGAATTTGAGGCGAAGTCCAACTTAACCGATTAGCGTCCCCCCAAAAGTCGGTTTAATCTACGAATAGAATGACAACTCATATTCTCAAATGGAGAATTGAGCACCCCCCACCTACTTCTCCCAGCTCTAACCTCTTTCAGATTTCAGGCTTCCACAGTCTCAACATTAGCCTATGCATCCGTCGCTGCCTCTGGCGTTGTTGCTTCGCCTGTACTCTTGCTTCGATCAATGTCTGCACTTGCCACTGCATAGAAGGTTAGTACCTCGAGGTTTCAATCACTTCTGCATCGAGGTCGACTGTGGATGGTCAAATCGCTGGAACATCGAAGTGGTTGGACTCTTGGGTTCTTCCGGCGGCATGTTCGCTTTACTTCCTTTGTGTCATTGAATCGATTGACAAAATGTTTTTGTAGCAGGGAACAAATCGAATAGAATACCGGACCTTGTTCTGTCTCTGAGTGTTTCTTTCGTTTGGAGCACCAGGGTGGTGGAGGTTTACAAAGAGTGATTGGGAAGTGGGATTTAGATGTAGTTGTTACGACGAGCTTGCTGTATTCATGTTCGTTTGGATTTGCCTCGATCCTTTCATGTGAACGGCAAGTCAAGATTATCCTCCGGCTAGGGATTGTGGAGGATTAATTTGGTTGCATTGCCTTACAATTACAGGACAGTACTCAAACCTCTGCGTGATTGAAGGAGCGCGGAGGAGCTCTCAGAACGATGAGTTCTACAGGCGCTACTGGAGGCCGTGGCAAGTCTAAGGCCTCCAAATCTATTTCCCGGTCGCAGAAGGCTGGCCTTCAGTTTCCTGTGGGAAGAATTGCTCGGTTCTTGAAGTCTGGGAAGTTCGCCGAGCGCGTTGGAGCTGGGGCCCCTGTCTACCTTGCTGCAGTGCTTGAATATCTAGCTGCTGAGGTGAGCATTTCCGCTTCTGACCTGGTTTTGGAGATTCTGTCTTTTTTAACTTTTAGGTCGCTTGCATAATTTCTTCGCGAAGCTCTGATAGCTGGTGCTCGCCATGTGTGTTCCTGAAGTTTTCATAATACTATATGGCGGCAAACAGGCCGACAAGTTACTGTGGTAGGGCCAGCAAATTGCGACGTGGGTTCAGATAGATGATGAGGGTGATGTCTGTCTCATCGTCCCTTTCGTCCCTCTCCAATTGAAGTATATTTCATTCTCTGGAAGGGTGCAAGTTGGTTAAGATCGTTAGTAACGTGTGCCTAACTTTAGAACATTATGCGTAGGTTCTTGAGCTGGCTGGAAATGCTGCGAGAGACAACAAGAAGAATCGTATCGTCCCTCGCCACATCCAGCTAGCGGTGCGAAACGATGAGGAGCTAAGTAAGTTGCTGGGCACAGTCACAATTGCCGCTGGTGGTGTCCTGCCCAACATCCACACGGTACTCTTGCCGAAGAAAACTGACAAGGGTGGCAGGGACATCGGAGGGAGCATTTCGCAGGAGTTTTAGACACTTCTCCACCCTGGCTAAGTCCAAAACAAATTTGTCTAGACCTCCATTACTTCCATCTCTCTTGATTCAGAGTACCCTCCGCTCCATTGTCCTGGTTTTTGCTGGTTCGACATTCACTGCCCGTCGTGTACAAATTGCACTTTAGATTCTGGAAGGCCAGTGCCAGAACCCTTTTATCCCAAGTCAGCTAAATTCGCTGTAGTTTGCCAAAAATCTGTCGCTTTGGATCACTTCGATTCGTATGAGGAAATATAGCAATTCTCACGGACTTTGGTGTGATACTTGCATTTGTTTACCAACGAAGATGGATATGGTTTACTCACTCTGCTGCAAACTCACGACTTGTTATGTGACGTTAAACAGATATGAAGCTCTCTTGACACGGCCTGCAAAAACAAATTAATGCAAACATCGACAAACCTTCACATTTAATCAGTCCAGTTGTAATTATACTTGTGCGTTACATTCATCATCCATCTTCCATGATTACTCTTTTCATGAATAACTACATCTAATTTTCAGGGCGTGAGATTTGTGAGAATTGTGTCACTGATTCATCTCAGTTCGCATCAAAATTGTATGTATGTAATATCTTTTGTCACCTTATCCGAACTGAGGTGGCAATACCACTCTAAGGTTATTACTTCCAATTTGCACTTTGCTTATTATATAATATCAGATAATATTGTAGAGGGTTATTTCTATTTTCTTGTTTGTTATCGTTTTGTGCAAAATCACCCACTTCGCCTTCAATAAGTTTTAACTTTTAAAAAACTATAACTTACCAAAACAGTTTAAATTTTATTCATTTATTCAATTATTATCTTTTTATTCAAAGATAGAATGTCATGCTAAATTATATGTTAGAAATCATCTATTTAAAGAATTATTATCAAATAAATTATATTAATTTATGTTTTAAATCCAACACAATGACTAATAATAATATATCAAACTCTATTGTGCATTAAATTATATTTTTGCAAATTTACTGTCTAATGTTATTTCCTTAGCTGTAATCATAATAAAGAATGTATTAAACCAACTTATCGGCAAAAATATAATATTGTATTATTGTTAGTCAAAAAGATTTGTAATAAAATTCATAAATATGTTATATCATACATTTAAAGATACCATTTTTTTTTTTTTTTTTTTTTTTGTAATAGCCATAATCATTTTAATGAAAAAAAATCAAAATTACGTAAAAAAAATCAAAAAAAATCAAAAAACAGAAACACACAACATCAACAAAACCTTTTACATTTAACCAATTGAATCTTTTTACGAATAATATATATATATATATATATATATATATATATATTTCCTTCTAATCAATAAAGTGAATGTAAAATGCTACTTCATTAGCATTAACAACCTTAACTTGCCTCATGATATGTATGTTAGTCCTATTTTGAACAAACCAACAAATCAACTTCAATTTATCAGAATTCTTTTCTTCATTCATATCACCTAATAATCTTTATGTCTCCAGATCAACCATAAATAATAAAATAAAATAAATTTATATACAATTTTCAAACACTTTCTTTGCATTTGAAAAATTTGGCGTTATTATATTATATTGTCCTATCTTATCTTCCGAGTATATTTTAACTTTCATAAGTGCCATTTTGTTGTGACACCTCAGTTTCTTAGCACTCATTTTATGTTGAAACATATAGTATTATAAGTATGAATTGTTTCCAACAAAAAAAATTATGTGTATGCTTAAATGATTTTGTCATATATTCATGTATGTATGTGTGTGTAGATATATATATATATATATATATATATAAACTCCCTATGCAACTTCATATTCTCATCAATATAAATTTATTGTAACTGCATTAAGAAATATTTAAATCTTTTTTTACTTAGCTATGAAGTATTTCACTACAGAGGACAGAATAGATCAATCTATTTCATTTTAATCTACAAAAAAAACCTAATTGGGATAAATTGTTTATATTCTAATGTACAGTTTTAAGAATGTAGATAAAACCCATCTTATACTTTCAATACAAATAACTATTACAATTTGTGTGTAGTTGATATTTTATTTCAACCAAACTAATAAAAAATTCAGAATTGTTGTATTAGATTTAAAAGACCAAAGGTCATGAATTCAAAAAAGCCTGTATTATTCAAATTAAAGTATTATCCTACTAATTGTTTTACAGACAAGTTTTTTTTTTCCTAGTTTATTCTATTTTTATGAGATTGACAAAATATTGATAAAAAGGATAATTTCATGTTGTCTAAAAATCTTCCATAAATTAATTCAATAAGTTATAACAAGCAAAGCTTGTATTGGGATTTAAAATAAAAATGAAAAAACTTTGGATTTTAAAATAATTTGAAATACGTTCAATAATGTTCAAAGATTAATATCAAGTTTTATAAAATGATTTTATATCTGAATAAGTGTTTGATGGAGTAACATAGTTTTGGGATTGCAAAGTAATGTAAAGAAGGATACACTCCAATCAAGATATTGTGTTTAATTAATTAATAAAAAATATATATAGAACAATAATATCATCAAATCATGATTTGACATCTTGTTTTAGATTATTTAACTAATCTACCTTGATATTAAAATTTATATTTTATTGTTAATATGGTATATTGAGTGTCACATATTTTATGTTCTAAATGAGTATTATTGATATTTTCTTAAAATAACAATTAAGTTACTAATTTCTTGTGTTAACAATCTTATCCATTACCTAGAAAATAAAAATATTTCAAACCATTTCATTCAATCCACACAAAAGTATTATTAAGATTTAAAATGTATGTGGGAAGTACAATCAAAGCATTAAGATATTACATCCAAATAACCATTTGAATCACATCATTACACGTACATACATTGTTACTGGTATTAAAACTCGTGAAGCACAACATAGAAATAGAACTATAAACTTATTCACATTTAATACAAATACAACGTTCATATAATTCCAAATTCTAATCCTGAATGGACGTATCCGAATTACATCCTCATCAAAACGAACGGATATCATCCACGAAACCCACGAATGAATGTGGTATCGCCACGCTGGAAAGGAATATTCCATTAAGTGTCGCAGTAGTTACGGCGCGAAAGAGTGGGAAGGCATCGGGACAAGAGCAGCAGCGCGACGAGCTAAACAAACGAGATCAGGAACGGAAGGAAGCAGGCACGGAGTGCAGGAATGAATGCAAAAGGCGACGGAAGCCTGATCAAAAGAGATACCTCGAGGACCACGAGATCACACGGCCGGCTGGCTCAGTTGACTGACGCAAGCTATTCGGGTCAACAGGCAGCAAGCGACGCGCGCGCGAGCGCTGTGTGAACGGGACCCGTCCGGGTTGCAAAAGGAGATTCACCCTCACTGGGTCCAGGTACGCGCTCCGTAGATTCCGTTAACGATTGGATGAAGTATGGCCGGATAGTTCAAACATCCAAAGGGATTCAAGTGCATCCCCCTTCCGAACCTCGCTGCTAGGGGGAGTCTGTCTGGGTGCAGCTCCTCTGCAGGTGTGGGGGCAGGGCCAGGATTGTGTCCGAGGCCAGGGAAGGTTCGGCGAAGGCTCAGCGAGAGCGCAGACGACACAGGGGGGATGCATGGGCGATGGCGGGGAAGACGAAGAAGAAGGTGGGTACATTCCTAACAGTTTCTCGAAATTGCGTTCGAGGCGGGGAATGTAGATTGCAGCTCTGTTCGCGAATGAGCTTTGGATTGTAGCCAGGCAGGCAGTCTAGGTTAAGGGTACCTGTTCCTCGATGGGCGTGAGATTGAGGTGACAATCGCTTGCATCATCATCAATATGCCTGCAGCACTAGCAGGAGTAGTTTTTGCAACTGGGGGAGGGAGGGATTGATGGAGGGCGAGCAGAGGGGTGGAGTGTCCGCCGGTGTTGCAAGGTTTGGAGGAGTGGGACTCGGAGGAATAGGACCCCCTCACCCCTGGGTAGCTGGAGCCGACGAATAGAGAGAGCAGCGAAGGTGCACCGCATCGGTTCATTCATGCTTCTAGGTACATGTTTCTGCGCCTGTTGAGTGCATCGCAGTTTGCCCTCGGATTAACTCGTTGGGGATGGAGTCTGGTTGCCGAGGTGGGTTTTATTTTTGTTTTGCTTTGTTGGTAGGGTGGTGGAGTGTTGCTTTATGTGTTCAAATCGGTACAGAGTGTCAGCGGCTGCGTGTTTTGTGTGGGGTGTCTTGGTCGGAGTACTGGATCCAGGGCTACTTGGGGAGTGAAGTCGTGGGTCGAGTACCCTGGTGGTTTCGGAGAGGTATTTCGTGATTGACGCACTTGTGTCCTTTTTTTTTTTTTTTTTTTTTTTTTTTTTCTTTTTTTGAGAGTGACCTACTTTCAGTTTTCTTTCCCCTGTGAGAGTAAGAGGGTACGGATGCAATGAATGGTGAAGTTAGGGAAAGGATGGTGTGGAGTTGGAACTGGGAATTGAGGAAGCTGAATTTGGGGCCCCAAAGTTGCACTCTCTTGTGTGAAGACGTGCTTCCTTATTTTGTTATCGAGTTGGCGTTGTGCGTGGGGGTGGTATGCCAGGGCCACCCGCACGGTTTGTGGGAGAGGGACTTTGTAAGCGTGACTCTAAGGGTGATGAAGCGAGAGGGCAAATCTGCGTACCGCCAAAAAGTAGTAGGGTTGATTGCAATGCGTACGCAATTCGCTAGACTTTTTACTCACGGAGTAGACAAAAAACCAGGTTGTTAATTTGTTGATCAGAGCTTAGTGGTGACGATGTCTAGGTTTAAGGTCATGACCGCGTTATGTTTGTGGTGGGCACGTACTACTTTGAGGGAAACAAGAACATGATAGCGCATCAGTTTAGGTAGACTTTCTTGGTGTGACCAGTTTTTTCTTCGCAACCTAAACCTGGGGGATAAACAAGATAGCATCGAGAGAAGGCCGATTTGCACATTATTGTGTTCTGAACATATTGCCGTCAGTGACTCCTTGGTACTCCTCTTCTGCAGTGAGTGCTATCGATTCCCCCGAAGCAGTAGCCCTAGCACGAGAAGTTTCACAGCTCATTAGTTTTATTACTTCTTTGGGGATGAATTTTTGTGTCCATCAGCTTAGTTACCCAAGCCAGTGAAGGTCTTGTATCTGCATTTGTGCTCTATCAGTTTCCTTCATCTCAGGCTGTGATTTTTCCATAGCTCTTCAGTTAGTGCCTGTCATATTTGTCTGTTTTTGTGGGTTTTCCTTCACAATTCTTATAGATTATGAATGACTAGCCTATTTTGCACGTCGTTTTACCGCCTCTTAACGAAGTACTGGAGAACTGGACATTGAAAGTTTCTCCAGGCGACTTGAAATCTGTTTTTCAATGACTAGCTTGTGCCTGTACCCTCTTCTTATTAATGGGTGGTTTGCTTACTGATCAATATTATACTTGATCTTACAATTGGCAATGAACAGTTTCTATGCGGAAAAGTACTGACGTGAGAGGTTAATCTTGGCTACATTCGCAGGGCTTCACCCAACTGTGCGGCGCTGATGTCGAGGCAGCATGCATGACGACAGAGGAGGAATTGATTGGCTCGTTTGCAAGAGCTGCACGGTGTGTTGTACGAAAACCAGTTGATGGAATGGGTTTAATTTATGCCCAGCAGACTTTCAGCGCCCTCGATGGTGGCTATCATGGCTTCTACATTGACAAAGCAAATGATGAGGATTCTCCACAGCGACCCGAATGCACAGGGGGTGACCACTCCGGTCTCCATGCAGATGCGCAGCCGCAGATCTTACCTTCTTACAGATCTGCAGCATCGGTTTTTGTGGAGTCGCTCTCGCTTACGACCAAAAGAAGACGGATGCTAAACAAAAATCCAGACAGATATTCTTTAGTGAGAGTTCCGGAGGTTGATCAAGTGGACCTTATCAATGATTTGCCAGATGAGTGCCTGCAGGAAATCTTTGGTTTCTTACCCAAGGTACAGGACCGCTGTGCTGCTGCTGCCGTTTGTATGCGGTGGCTGATGCTGCAGTCTCGAATGCAACGAGGCGATTTCAAGATCGAATCTGCTTCAATGTGTAAAGGAGCATGCACACAGGATTACTTGTGTGCTACTAAGAATGGTTCCATGTCAGCCGCAGAGAAATCCGATGTCTGGATGGAAGAGCTTTCAGATGTTAGAGGTGATTGGTCTGACGAGGCACCAAACGATGACACAGTGGGGAATGCAAATGAAGTGCATCCTTGTGGTAATGAGATAGACATAGTTATAGATGGAGAACCACGGGTGCAAATGCAGCCTCAATGGGTATGTGGTGAACTTTCTCGCATCTTGCAAGGCAAGGAGGCCACGGATGTGATGCTTGCACTTGTGGCTATTGGTGAACTTGCACGTGGGGGTCTTGTTGATCTGAAAGTCATTGGAGGGTTGGCTCGTGCCAGTAAAGGTATCAGTGACAGCGGCCTCATAGCTATAGCAAACTGCTGTGCTGCTCTGAGGTCTCTCACTTTGTGGGGTTGCGAGAATATCACAGATGTCGGTTTGGCAGCGATTGGGAGTGGATGTCGCTCATTAGAGAAACTAAGCATTATGAATTGTCCAGGAATTGGCGATCGGGGTTTGCAAGCCATTGCGAAGGGTTGTCCTTTACTATCCACGGTCAGCATAGACTCTTGTTCTAATGTTGGGGATGCCAGTCTGAAGGCCTTGGGAATATGGAGTGGATCTTTATCTTCCTTTTGTCTGACAAACTGTCCAATGGTGGGTAGTGCTGGCATTTGTATGATTACTTTGGGTTGTAACAAGCTGACGAAATTGAAGCTGGAAAAGTTACGATTGAGCAACAAAGGATTAATTGCTATAGGGGATAACTGCAAGTTTGTTACGAGGATGAAACTTGCGAATCTTAGCTGGTGTACTGAAGAAGGATTTCTTGGATGTTTCGGAGGCTCTGGTCTAAAACAGTTGAAGTGTCTGCTGATAACCTTTTGCCCTGGATTCACAGACCTCACTCTGGAGAAGGTTGGAAAAGTTTGCCAAGACTTGGAAACGTGTGTTCTGACACAGTGCCAGTCAATTACAGATAGAGGCTTGCAAGGCTTAATGCAGTGTTGTATCCGTCTCGACAGTCTTCAGCTAGAGAGATGTCATGCAATTACGAATGCTGGTGTGCTGGCAGCCCTTGCACGGGGTAAGGGAAACCTCAGGAAGCTAAACCTTTCAAAGTGCGACAGTTTCTGGAATGGGGGAAAGCGAGCTGAGGAGCTGCCTCTTAGATGTCTCTCCTTGAAAACTCTAAATGTTACCGAGTGTAAGAATGTAGGAGTCGAGCCCATCGTAACAATGGGTCTCTGTTGTCCCTCGTTGGAGAATTTGGACCTCAGTCAACTGACCGACCTTAATGACGAAGCAATAATCTCCATAATAGAAGTTTGTGGGGAGCACCTTGTAAATCTCAACCTCACCAACTGTAAAAACATTACAGATGTGGCTGTTGCCGCAATTGCTTCTCGCTGTGGTGATCTTGAGCGCCTGATCCTGGATGGTTGTTACCAAGTGGGCGATAATGGCCTGCAGACGTTGGCCACGGAGTGCCCTTTACTAAAAGAGCTGGATCTTTCTGGAACTTCTATCACGGACTCTGGTTTACGATCTTTGGTTACTTCGCAGGGGCTGTTTCTCCAGGGCCTTACATTTACAGGATGCATTAATTTGACGGACGAGAGTCTGTCTTCGATCGAAGATTTCTGTCCTTTACTCGGGTCCCTTAACTTGCGAAATTGCCCTCTTCTAACTAGAGAAGGGCTGAGTTCTCTCGAGTCCCAGCTCTGGTCTTGCGACGACTTTGTAAGCTCTTAAGAGCTTAACTGATGGCTGTCCTTTAGGGCATGCCACATAACGCCAACATGGGAAGTGTCGACCGTCGTATTTTTGGAACTTTTTCTCGGCACAAATGCTTTTGCGGTTTTCATGTAGAAGATACCATCGAACCATGGGTAAGCCAATAATTTCAGATTCTTTGCGCATTCAAGTGGAGTTTCCGATGGGTTTTATACGATGTAACCTGTACGAAGGGGAGTATAGAAGAAGTGTTGGATGACATGCCGGGAACCTGATACTGAATGGAGTTCTAGTACAGAAGTGACGCCAATGGAGGCAAACGATATGTACACCTGGGTTCCACAACTGCTATTTTTGCAGTCAATCATCTATCTGATGATGTCTGCTTTGTTTCAGGAGCAGTCATGCATTTAGAATGCATGTTTTTTTATGTGGTCTCAGAGAACTGCCGATTCTTCCTCATCTTACCGTCTTGGTAGAGTAGAGAGGATTTTTTCTTGTTCCCATGGTAACCAGTTAGCATCATCTTCGTTTGTAACAAAAGAATTAGGGGAGGTAGTAGTCACCAGGTGTTAGTGTGTCTTGGGAATGGGAGTGGATGCTCACAACCTCATTATATTTGCTCTATCCCCGACGAGCTTGTTTCGGGATTCTCCGACACAACTACAAGTTTTTTTTGCAGGCTCCTAGGTGCAAGAGCTCTAGATCTGAACAGGAATAGAATTACGTTTGTGTGATCACTGAAGATTTTTTCAGTTTCGTGTGATGACGATTATGACGATGACTTTAATCAAAGACATCAACTACCAGAATGTACTTCTGCACTTTGTATTGAGTAAATGTTTCGTCTTAACACTTGTGTTCTGTGTTCGGAAGTCTCTTCCTTCTGCTTTAAATATACTGCTAATTTTCCAGGTGGGAACGATATTGTCAGATGCATGATTGACAGTGCTTGGGAAGTGGGTGTGCCTCCCACCCACAGATGCTATGGTATGTTCTTCATCTCCAAAATTGCAGTACAACTTATATTGTTGATATTCTGCAGCATTCGAGTGTTTTCATCTGGAGCAGGAAATGGGAAGTCCACTTTGAATCCGCAAACATCCACAGCTCTAAAATAAAACACGCTACCATGTTCAGGACGCAGCCTTGGATTCTACTTATTTTACTGTGAAGTTGAAGGTTCAACTTGGGCTCTTCAATCTGGAAATCTATATATTTATAGAAATTCCGTTTCTGATGTTTCAAATTGGCAACTGTAAGTAATTGTTAAGAAGCCTAGTTGAATGGAACATATGAATATAAGAATTAGAGTTGTCATTCATTGTTTGGTTGAGGATTATGGAAAAAAGAAATTTTGAAGACCATAAGCGTATTGAAATCTGACACTAAGAGTTTTTTTTTTTTTTTTTTTTTTTTTTTTATCTTAAACTCACAGAAAGAATCAATTTTGTAGATGAGCAAGCACCAATCTAAAAGAATGAGAGCTGTCAAGTTTCAAATATTGTACTAGCACAAATTGCATGATATTATTTTGTGCAACTATTTTTAATGAAAGAATCCTACAAACATGTTCATTAATGTGATGTACATCTTGATGAATTGTAATAGATTGATACGTAATAATTATATGAAATTATGAGCAAAAATTTCATAAAAAATATATTTCAGACATGAAAAAATCCAAGATTATGAAGAAATAATTCCTTGATTAGGCAGTAGGATAGACCAATTTGATATTAATGTTCATCCAAATAAGCAATTTAGGGAAATTCAAATATTTATAATGTACTTGCATAACTTAGAAATCCAAAGTTAATCAGAGTAGCCTAAATGTGAGAATCTCAAGGGAAAATATTTAGAGAAATTTGAAACAAGTATCAATTCGAAATTGCATGAAATTGATCTTTAAGTTTTCATATCAAATTACATGAAATTGCTTGAATTTGGAATTATCAATGCATAGGAAGTTTGTTATTATAGAACATTCTTCAAACTAATATTATGAATGAATATTATACAATAAGATTTTATCCACAACCATCCAAATAATATTTCACCTAGTCAGCCACTCCTGAAGTTCTAAAGTTTGATCTTCACATGTGATGGCAATCACTTTTTGCATTACAAATTTCGTTTTTTATGGACACATAAATGGAAATGCAAGACAAAATAAATTTAGAATTGCTTAAAATTTATAAAAAATTAAAATAAAATAAAGTCTTAGTTATATAAACATTTTGCTTTTGCCGTAAGCAACTTTCTTAATTATTCTAATAAGTTATTACAAAAAAAAATCTTCAAATAAAATATACAAATATTTAGGTAAAATAAGATTTTGCCTCAACTTCAACTTTTATGGATGATTATTTGTTGAAAAATGTCTATTTGTAAGTAGAATTTTGGGATATATTTGAAAAATTCAAAATCTACAATCTCTCAACAAGGTTTAGGCTAAAGAGATAAATTATACTGACAACTGATCTTTATAACTATGAATCAAATGAGGAGAGGACAACTACTTTGCTCTCTATTCCTAAAGTAGCCAATCCATTGTCAACCAACCTCTCATTTTTCACTTATAGGATGGGATAATTTCACTAGGTAGGTGACCTATTTTCAATCAATTCTAACATTTTGTGGTCAAAAATATGTTGGAGCCTAGGAGAAATGATGTTAAACTATGAGCAATTTAAACAATTCATTGTACTCAAAAATCAATATGGATGATCTGTCAAAAATCGATTTTTGCATTAGTGGAGTTTTACATATGTAGAAGTTGATTATGCATAGATAAATCAGGGAGTTATTAGAGTGGGATTGGAAGATGGAAGATGTGTGAGATATTATTTGGAAATGAGCAAAAACAAAGAAGAATAGTGGCAAAAATCCAACTTGAACATGGTAGATTACTTATAACTAGATGTTTGTATTTTTGTTGCTTCATCTACAAATTTACATCTATAGGTAGCATGGAATTAGAAGAAGTTTGATAGCATAATTAAGTCCTACACATCACGTTTTGTAAAAGTTGGATTCTTGGTTTTGTAATCTACTACTAATTGGAATTAGGTTGATTTATATGTTAAAAATGGGTCAAAAGAATCTTTTGTTAAATTTTTTATAAAATTCTATTATTAGAAAATAGTGTCAAAATACTTAGAATCATTTTGATTTCTATTTTCCTACATAGAGGTATTTTTTCCATTTTTACACCTACTAGATATATGCTGAAATGCTTATCGGAAATAGGTTGTTTATCTTACATCTGGCTCTACAAACTCCTAGTAGTCATAATAAAAATATTATTTTTGTTTTGGATCAGAGATTTATGCCTATATATCTTAAGTAATGAAGGAAACATAATATTAATAAATTTGATTTGAAAACTTGAAGATCAAAAATGGTGATGAGAACAACTTTCCATGAAATTAAACTCCTACCAAATGCACTTCATGATCAAAAACTTTATTCAATCAATATCTCTTTTTTCAATTAATACTAACATAGGTAATTGTAAAATATATAATTTATTATGGACTTTAAAGTATTTATTATTATTATTATTTTATCTTAGATAAATTGTAAATGAATTATTTATCAATCGTTTTATAAAATTTAAATAAATTAGCTATTTTTTAATATCAAACAAAGAAAATATTTTAAATATACTTTTATTAAAATCTATTTGTGTGAAAAATGCATTGACTTTTGTTAGACAAGCAATAGGATGGAGTATCAAGCATATAGAGCATCAACTTCTACAAGCAAGGAAGTAGAGAAGTGTTCAAGCACATCAACAGGCTTTAATATAAGAGGGCCGATTTTTCTATGATGGTTGAGAGCAAGATGATCCAAGTAATTATCACCTCATCTTTGAATTTCTTCACAATGCATATTGATTTGTTTATAATATGGTGGTCGATAGAAGCATGGATGGAATAATATTGAAGAAGACTAATTTTAGTAGATATTAGAAGAAAAAAAGAGTATATGAAGATTGTATTAGAAGAACTTGACACTTTATTGGAGAGAATGGTGCAAATTGTCATGGCCATGTGCAATCTATTGCATAAGCTTAGAATATAGATTACATTGTTTTAAGTCATTTATACATAAATTATATTTGAAAAATAATCTAAATATGAAATTTTATAATTAAAAAATGTACATATACTTATATAAGCTATTATTTTATTAACATAATATAAAAAAGTTTATATGCATTTATTTATTCTTTTAGATATTATATAAAGATTATTAAAGAATTTTTAAAACCTCATATCTTATAATTTTAAGACTTGCTAATGATTTTAAATATATTATTAGAATCAAAAGCATCATAAACATAAGAACAAATCAATTCAAAATTTAAAAAAGAAAAAGAAAAATCTATCTATCTATCTATCTATCTATATGTATATATCAAATCAAAGATCTTATATTTAAAAATCAAAAAAACTTATAGAGCATTTTAAGACCACCACTAGATTTATTAATCTCCAAATTAGAGAAACAACTCGAATCAAAATTAACAAAATCCTATATATTTTCAAAGTCAACTCAAAATTTAAAACATTCAAATCCTTAACAGCTACAAATTCATACACTTTTAGAACAATTTGATGACATATTTAGAATGGCCAATCCAAAAACGGATTTAATAGTATTTTAAAAGCTCTAAAAACATCCTTCTATAATAAAAATCAACATCTTAATGTCCAAATAAAGTTTCTATACTTTGCAAATTAAAAACTTGTACGACAAGTTGTTTAGACCATTAGAATTGTAAAGAGCAAAAATAGATGCAAGGTTAATTTGAAATTAAAAAATAAGGAGAATAAAAGAATAAAAATAAAAATAGAAAAACTTATATAATTCTAAATTCTAAATTCTAAAATTTTAAATCTTAAATCTTAATAAGTACTTAGATCATCAAATAGATTTTATAAGCTTATTATTTTATTTTTTTTCTAAATAAAAATAAAAAAATATTAAAAAATCCACAAATTATGATGCATTGGTGGGACTGAAAATAAGTCAAGTCAAAATTGTAAAATAAAGATGTCAAAAAAATTGGGCACACCTTTATAAGTATAAATTCTAAAGTCTTGAAATTCTTATATCAAAAATATAAATCTTAAAACTAAAGTCTAATTGATTATATCTTCCAATAAAAGATCTTATATACTAAAGTATTTATACTATTGGTATTACAATCCTCCAAAATAGAAACGTAACTCAAGTCAAAATTAAAAATTAAACATGTCAAAAAATTAAAAATATTCACATAATTTCAAATTTCAAATCTAATAATTTTACTTGTCTTTAAAAATTGAACAAGTTAAAATATTTGATTTTATGCTTATAACAGCCTCACTGTTTAGGTTTCTTTGATATGATCTAAATCTGATATTCTTTGACTTATTATCATTTTTGTCCTATTGTATCTTAAATATATCTTATCTAGGCTTGATTTTACATTTCTTACTAACTTATGAGTGTACTTGTCAAGGACATCAATCATAACAAAAATCTAAAGAAGCATGAATAATTAAAAAATTCATAGATTGTAAACTAAATCAAATTAAGTTTGTACATATTCTTTAGAATTATTATAAAACTATTAGATTTTTAGTTTATTTTTTAAAAAAATATCTTTATATATATATATATATATATATATAATAGATAGATATCTTTAATATATATAATAAATAGATAGATAGATATATTAATTATGAATTTATACATCTAAAAATGATAATATATTTTTATATCATTAAAAGTAATAAAAAACTAAAAATAGATATAGAATAGAAACTAGAGTAGCTATTACAAAATGCAAAAGGACTAAGAAGTCTTGATTTAAAATAAAACACAAGAAAAGTTTTGACAAGAATAAAGAATGCCTCACTCTTGCCTCTATATATAATATCAATTAAAATACTATTTGGCAATGTCTTATAGGCCTTATGAGATGTGTCCAACTTGCAAAATACTTGTATAATTTATAGGGAAAATTTAAAAAACATGTGTGCCACATGACCAACTTGTAATACAAATAACATATTCTATTTAAATGTACAATATGTGGCCAACTTGTAATACAAATAATTTATTTTATTTAATTAAGCAACATGTGGCCAACTTGTAATACAAATAATTTATTTTATTTAATTAAGCAACATGTGGCCAACTTGTAATACAAATAATTTATTTTATTTAATTAAGCAACATGTGGCCAACTTGTTGGCCTAATTATCAACCTTTTAATCACATATATAGACATGTAAAGTCTATAAAGCTTCTAAAAAGCTTCCCAACAAGATATCAATAATCTAAATTACTTCAACTTACTTCTATTTATTTCTATTTACTTCTATCTAACTTAATTATTTAAATAAATGTACTAATAAATATGGCTATCTATTACAATGTGGATCTTTTTTACTTTAACATATGAAAAAATTCAAAAAATTCAAAAAACATAATATCTCATTAATAAATAAGTCAAAATAAGTTTCTACTATTACTATTTTTTAGTTATTTTATTGTACTTTTTATAGAACTAATTTATACAAGTAAGAAGAAAAAATTTCATAGATATAAATTTATATATTTTATACTATTATTATTTTTATTATTTTTATTTAAGATAATATTAAAATTAATTTTCTATTTTAAAAATAAATGAAATCCTAATAGATAATTTAATAATAAGTCTTATTATATATATATATATATATATATATATATATATATAGTTTAATTGATTGATATTATTGTAGAGTCTTTTTAAAATATAAAGTAATAATAGATAAAAAAAACTTTTTTCTTTATAAATTGTATATATAGATATAATGTGAATATCTAATATGATTATTTTTGTTTAAGTAATTTAAATTTTAATCTTTCAAATTCATATATACATTGACATGGCTATCCAAATGTCGAATTATAATTTTGTGTGATGTTTTTGTTAGTGATTCTTATTATATACTTTTAAAATATTTAAAATTTAGTTAATTATAAATATTTTTTATAAAAAAAATACAAACTATTATTATTCTATATTTTTAAGTAAATAAAACTACAAAGATGCTTGTAACTAAGCACACTTAGAAGATATCACTCTTTTAAATATTATGTCATATCTTCTTATTCTTCTTCAAAATTTTATTTTTATTTTTAGAGCATATTTAAATATTTTTTTATTTAATCAAAATATCTTTAAACATGTTTAAAAAATATTATACTATATACTAAATCAATATAAAGACATTTATAGTCAATCTTAAATAATATTTTATTCATATTGTTCTTTCTTTCATCTTTCTAAATAAATACATACATACATATGTACATATGAATAAATTGAGAATTAAAATGAACATTATCAAATTCAAATAAAGGATTAGAAAAGAACACAAAGAATTAAAGATCGTTTTTTCCAAAAACACATATGTGGTCCAATCTCCTTCCAATGGACTTGGATCAAAGTAGCACTTACAAAAAGAAAAGTATAAAATAAATAATCAAAATGGTTTTTCAATCTCTTATAGGAGAAAAAATTGAAGTCAATTAGTTTTGCAATATATAAACAATCCCAAGAATGGGAGACAAAAGATGCCATCTTCCACCATGTCAAAGCAATCCCTTTCCTCCTCACACAACAACCTTTTGAGTTTGCTGCAACTAAAGAACACAACTAGAAATAATAATATAAAAGAAGAAAAGAGGAATAAAAAATAAAAAGAGTAAACTATGTTCTTGTAAAGGAGATAAACACTATGATAGAATTCCTCACAACATCATTAGCAATCTCTACATAATCTTTGAAATGTATTCTCAATTCCATCAATTGAATGGGAGGATAGGACTATTTTATTGCATTATAAATGTTGTGGGGAATTCCGGCTCAGACAACGAGGAATGTCCAGGATGCTAAAATTAGGGTTTCGAGACTGCGGTGGGGGCGACATCGGCGTCGCGGGGGGATTTGCACCAAGTGGTGAGGATTCAGAGGCGATGGCTTTCCCTCGGGGCTTTCAAGGGGCTCTGCACCAGCTGCCTGCCTCAACCTCCCGATGCGCCTGCGTCTGTTTCGGCTTCCGTAGCGACAGCTGAAGAGCTTGGTGGTGTGTTGGTGTGCAGTGTTGCGTTGAGGAGGAATTGATTTCCTTGCTGCAACGGCAACGATGACACCGTGCGACGTTGCGGCGTTGAAGAAATGCTTGGAGGAGCACAAGGGGGACGGGGAAAAGTGCAAGGAACACATCGCTGCTTTCAAGACTGCTTGCTCTGCTCCGTCGTCCTCTTCGCCGCAGCGTGCGCAGCCCAAGTCCACGCATCAGGCCGCAGCTTCTGATTGTGCCACTTGCGCTCCTCCGGTCTCACATTAAAGCAATAGTTGAGCTCATTGTATGCCTGGTACGAATTTCGTCTTCAATCTGATGTCGCTTTGGAGTTACCGGTGATGTTTTGGCGTAGATTTTATGTCGGTCGAAGTTCTTGACAGTTGATCTCTAGAATATGCACTTTGAGACTTTAGGAGGCAGGTTCTACGGATACTGTGTTTTGATCACAAATTTCGACTTGAGTTAGTATTTGGGAGTTTGCATAGATGTGCTCCGTAGGTTTTCCCGATGGTTTTGCATCGTTATGATTCGACCTATACTAAACCTAATTGAAGCCGTAGCTTTTCTTGTGTTGAAGTTGTTGACTACCTGAAAGTCCCAATTTGCTACGCAGGCATGATTGCCTGACACTAGGGATGATCATTGAATTATTTTATGTCGTATTGTGTATACAGGATTTAGTTGCATAAGAAATTCCGGTAGTTAGCTTAGCGACCATGGATTTGGAGTTTCTGATAACAAGAAATAGGAACCGCACACAACCCGCCACTTGGTCTAGTACAGTTGTGCTCTTGCGCAATTTTTTGCGTGACGAAACTCTCGCCTTTCGCCAAATGCTGGGCTGTGTAGTGCGGCGGGTTGTGCACACACTTGACGATCTGCTTCAGTACCGGCTCTTTTTGCTTATGGTGCGTTTTTGCTTGCATCGGTGCTCATCGTGACACTTTTCTGCACCGCTCTTGTGAAGCACCAAGCCCAAACAGTTAACATTGACAGTGCTGACTTTCCAGAGAAAATTATGACAATAATTCTTGAATTCCTCTTTTGATTACGTTCTTTTCAGTTTTTAGGCGACTCTTCTTATGGTCGCCTGCGGGCAACATCTAGGTGGGATCAGGGATTTTGGCTTTTCTCTGGTACGATCTTAGAATTGATACTTAGCAAGCATTTGTTAAAGTGCATGATATTTTTGTGAGAATGCAAGGTCAGAGTTGAACCTCGCCATGTCTCTGATTATATTGAATTAATTTAAGCCAGTGACCTACTGGACAAAGTGTTTATGCGTTACAGTGTGTCTTGTGCTCGTGTTGGGCCCTGCTGTTCGCAAGTGCCAAGTTACACTGATAACATCCATGTGGAATTTCATTCTGTAGATGCTGTCCATGAATTATACCTAGCATAGATGTGTGGGCATCCATATGAGAACGGGATAATGGTTATGTTAGTTATTGTGATTATGTATGATTTCATTTGAATGTTTGTCTAACAGGGTGACCACTACATATTTTACGAAGCTTTTATGGACTAAAGCATCAGTATGGATACATAATTTCGTCATGGCGAATGTGATGTCTAGCCTCAGATATTGGAAATGACATGCCGCATCTTTATGTGGACATTGTCCAAATTATTTTACAAATCCTGTTTCATGTTTTTTTGTAGTCGTGGTCTGTCGTTTGTGATTCAGCCAGGGCTGGAGGGCGAAGGCTTACTTGGAGATGAACTTTTGGCTCGTTTGAGGCATTCATGAGTCGGGAGAGTTTGTTTTCGGAAAGGAAGTGAAGTCGTGTATTGTAATAAAGACCTTTCCCTTTTAATCAAGTGCAAGATGGTAAGAATTATTATCATGCTGGGAACATGCAAGATTAGAGGTAATGCCAAATTTGTGAGAAAATTTGTACGTTTACGGCTTCACCTTCCTAGGTTATATTGATTCCAAAATTGGCATCATGACTGAGTACGTTTAGAGTGCCTTAATCATCTGTAGCATGATAATGGTTAGTCTGTACATTCCTTGCCACGTATGAAATTTTGGTGTGCGAAAACTCATGATTAGCCTTGAGCAGCTGCGTATGTGTAACGCTTGTGGGTACCGAGGTTGGTTGTCTCATGGTTGCATCAGTTTCTACTCTCGTCTGTGGGTGAAGGAGGCACGGTTTGGAGTTTCAAGCCACGAGGAAGAAGTGATCTCAAAGCATTGTAATATGCCGATGTCTTCAACTGCATCTCTGGTGCGTTACTGTATCACTTATGTGCAAGGTACACAAGTGAATTTGTGACTTTTGTTACGTCTATTTTGAGGGGAAAAAAAAAAAAAAAATGAAGAAGGAGAAGGCATGAAATATTTCGGTAATCGGAGCTGAGGAAAAATCAACTCCTCTGGTCAGAAACTTCTTATCTCGTGCGCAAGTAATGCTAGCTGAAGGTTTCAGCGCCATGGCACAATTGTATTCGTTGAGAAGTTACCAGTAACACAGTCCTGTATTAAAAATCTATCGATGTTTAATACAAGTTGTCAGTTTAGATTTTCTAAGTTTTATGGTAAAAACATTTCCTCAGTTTCTTTCTTGTCTCTTCTCGTTCCAGCATCCTTTGATTGCAGCCTTCGTTTGTATCATGTCTCGCTGCTTTTTTTCGAATGTAAAAAGGTATCAGTTTCAAGCTTTCCATCTCAGTCATTGCTTCACTAATCGAAGCCTCCTCATTCTTTGCTGTGCCTTGTCCTCCGACCCAAGCGCATTCGAGAATGGGTATGTATCCGTGTCGATGGTACTTGAATTACAGCTGCTGAAGGACGTTACGGGACTAAGCGCAATTCACCACAACGTCAATATTTGGATTCTCTTCTCAACATCTACTTGAAGCCTTACCTATAAAAGCGACTCAACTGGTATATGTCTCTCATCCTCATCATTCAGTCCCACTGCTCAATGCTCTATTACATTCCGACTTCAGTCTTCCTCAGTCCAGTTTCTTGCCGCTGAAGTTCGTAGGAGACACCTGAGTCCCTGAGTGCCATCTCCGACTCTGCAAGTATGAATGTCTCAAGCAATGGTACCTTCCAGAGGGAAGGAAAACTGGTGTTTGCAGCTCTGGTGCTAGCTGTGATATCTCTGATGTGTGCCCCAGTGAGAGCCTCTAGATTCATGGTATCCTTTGCATCTGCACCTGCTAATAGTTCTGCACCACCGTTTGCACCTCCTCCATTGTCTTTGGCAGTAAATCCAGCTGCATTGCCTCTCTTCGACTCTCCCCCTCCCTCCTCGTCACCGTCACCCTCAGATTCAGATAACTCAAAGCTTCCCAATGAAAGGAGATTGCCCAGCAGTGATTCAGCACCAGCAAAATGTGTTGATCCCTTCTCTGGGGCACCAATGCCTAGTGCACCATCTGATGCGATTCCGCTTGTTCCTTACGGTGGGTATACTCCCGTCGGTGCGCCATATGCTTATAGTGAACCCGGAGTGCCGGCTCTTGCGCCTGCACCCTCGCACGGCTCTGGAGCTGATGCCTCTTACAACAACCAGCCAGCACCGCAACCGGAATCTGGTGATGACGGCTCTATGGCGCATACCACTATGGTGAGTGCCGTGCAGGTAGGTATAGTGGGGGTTTAATGACAGTCCATTCTTTCATAGATGGTTCTGAATTTGCATCTGTTTGCTCACGCGCTTGCAGTTATTAGTATTAAATGTTTGAATTTCTGTTCATATTTCCACGGTTTCTTGTACGCCCGTGCGTCATTATCTTCATGTCAACCCTTGAAGGTGTTGAACAAAGAGGAATCAAGTAAACTGCAAATTCTTTGTCGTATTCTGTGTAGATTCTGCACTGTATAGCTTACCTTTTCAGCAGTTGCTGGATTTTAACGGGTATGTAAACAGTGGATTCTGAACTAGTCATTGTGGCCTTTGTTTGAGGGCATTGCAGTACAATCAATGCACGTATACGATCATTACAAGTACTGGGAATATCGAAGGAGCTGGTACACAAGCCGATGTGAACGTTGAGTTCTTCGACAAATACGGTGATTCTGTTCTCTTTGTAGGTCTTAAGAGCCAGAACCGCAACTTCAACCGCGGAGCGACAGACACATTCACTGTTGTGGGTAATTGCGTCCAAAATATATGCCGTATGCACTTATCTCATGACGACTCAGGCCCCCATCCGGGCTGGTTCGTGAACACCGTCACAGTTTCCCTACTGTATCAGACTCAAGTTTTCAATGTGTTCGAGTGGCTGGCCAAGGATGAGCCTCCTTACTCCCTCTCTCGAACCGTGAGTTCTTGCCCAGCGTGAGACGAGACATGCAGCTTTCATGCAACACTTCCTGAGACGATGGATCGGACTACGTTATGCCGCATCACGAATTAAATAGCGAGAATAAGTGGTCTGCCTAGTTGAAATGTTTTTTCAGTAGAAAAGTTTTGTCAATCAATATCACCTCAAAAATGTATGCAATAAAGATAAGACTTGATTCTCCGTTCGCCAGTTATATATGTTTCATGAATTTTGCTCCCGCCTGTTTGTACCCATGGAAGCCTCGGTCTCCCTTTTTCAACAATATATTCTAGAAAACAACTCTATTGAAAAACGCTTGGAGTGAGTCCACCTGGAAAAAACACACACAGCTTTAGGCATAATTATTTTAAAAAGTGAGTTCTGGGGATTTATGAAGTCTTTCTAATTAAGCAGGGTTTGTCCAATGGGCATGAACTTGTGTCACAATACCACGAACACTCTCAGTATTATTGAGACAATACGATTTTTCGAACACGGATAAATCCGCTCAGGTCAACTGTCGCTTCCAACCCAACATGTTGACGCGTTTTTTTACGGATGTGGTTGTTGCTTCATTCCCGATTCCGTAGGCCAAGGTATGAACTGCCCATAGATCTTCAAGCATTCATCGTATTTTTGTAGAGATCTGGCTCAGCAATGGACGAAAGGTTCCGGTCGACTACTTTCTTAACGATCCAGACTCAATCACGGAAACCATTGGATCGTGAAGATACAACGCAAGTGTAGTGAATGTATTGGAAAGTGAGTCCACGTCCATGTGTCTGTCTATGGCCAGCTGCTGCAGCCCCGTGTGCAATGGCAGAAGCTTACCAGCGGACTGCGCAAGAAGACCGATTCCAGGTATTGGTGGGGCCCTAGCGACACAAACACGCAGACAAGCAGTTGGGGTCAGCAGTTTCTCATCAATTTTATCCGCGAGCAGGGTTGTTGAGGGAGACGGAAAGTTTAGAAGATTCTCATGTCAACCTAGTTTCAGCAGCAATCAAGGAGACTATTGTTTGCAGAGGAGGGCACTTCGAGGGGTCTGGAGAAGGGATTTTACTCGTGGTTGTGATGTTAGAGGTGGTGGTATTCAGGTAGTAAGTTTGGAGCGAGAGCGAGCGATCAGGTGTTGTAGCGAAAACAAAGACGCCATGGCCAGTAGTAGGAAACTACCACACCTGCAAGGCATTCTGTTCAAGTATGGCAGCAAATCTAACCAGGTTGAACAACTATCTATCCAAGGATTGTTGTAGAACTCTTTGACTTAAATCCAGTAACCCTATTCTTGTTTGCCGAGAAGATGATGTGCTTTATCCTTTTGTATTCAGTTGTAGTTCATCAGAGATCTGTCTTTTCTTTCTGCTAGTTTTCTGAGAAGTGACTTGTGGCTGCGTGGATGAAGGTAGCATTCAAAACAGGAAACTATAAGCAGCAGGTTGTCTTCATTGGGGGACTTACGGATGGGTTCCTTGCAACAGAGTGCGTTCTCTTTCCCCGCTCGATGCCAGCAGAACCTCGTGGTTAAGAAAGTCTTTTAGTTTAACTTTGTGAAGAGTAATTTCAAGAAAATTTTGCATGATTTATCGTCCGATTGTGTCCCCCTGTCCTGCTCTTGTGCTGGGAGCATGTATTGGAGCTCTAGCCTTACACTATTCGCCATAGAATCCCTGAGAAGTTCGGGAATATTTTCTCATTGACTGCAGTTATGTCGAGCCACTTGCAAAAGCGCTGGAAGCCGAAAAATGGTCATTGGTGCAGCCACTTTTGACGTCTTCTTACACGGGGTTTGGGACCTCAAGTCTGAAGGAGGTACAGTAACTTCCTGTTACGAACTGAAGAACAAACTTATTCTGTGATCACGCATGGCTCTTTTTACGAATTCCTACGGATACTGTTGCGCAGATCTTAATTTAGATGCTGGAAGGAACATGAAATTGGGTTTCTAGGTTTTGACGGATTCGTACGTGTTGCATGTGCAGGACGCAGTAGAGATTGAACTGCTTCTCAACTACTTAATCGACCAGGAAGATTCCGAAGGGTTCATTCTTGTTGGTCATAGCACTGGTTGCCAGGTACTTTACTTGCGAATCTGCAAAGATTTCATGTCATCAGAGTGCTGAAGGAAATGTTCAAATCCTTCAGAGAGATTCTGCAAAGTTATGCATAGAACGAGCACGTGAGTCAGCAATTTATGTTTTAGTTGAAGAGATGATTTAAATTCATGGTGCACCAGGATATTGTTCATTACTTGCGGACTGGAGGGCATTGCACACGCGCAGTGAGGGGCGCTATTTTGCAAGTAAATTCCTTACTTCATCTAGCTGGTGTCGTATTGTGATCGCATCAAGTTTCGTCCCGTTTCAGTCCAGTGAAATTGTTCTAGTACAGGAACAGGTTAGGGGCATGTTGGTCTTTGGGTAGGCGAGTGCTCTCAACTTATCGTAATATTATCTATCCGGATGGTTGATCTGCCAGGCACCAGTCAGTGACAGAGAATTCCGAGCTACGTTACCCGAGACGCAGCCCATGCTTGAACTGGCTGAGCGAATGATCAAGGAAGGTAAAGGCGAAGAATTGATGCCCCGAGATGCCAGTCCAGAAGCACCAATTACAGCTAATAGGTAATAAATTTTCTACTGAGGAAGGTACAAGTTATGCTTTTGTAGAACAAAGTAGCATTGTTCTACAACCCAGCTACCACTGTTTTCAATTTTATTTTTTCGGTTTTATTGCAGGTTCCGATCACTATGTGCGTACATGGGCGATGATGATCTGTTCAGTTCAGACTTCACTGATGCGCAGCTGAAGGCGCTATTGGGGCACATGTCACGGGTACCTTGTCAGGTACGGTCAGCATTTTCACAGCTGTGGTTAAGTGTGGAACTCTCCGATTGAAGGTGAGAATATAGTTATGAGACACTGGACTTAACATCTTCAAACTGGGTCTCTCTTTTGTAAGGATTTACTGTTGTCTCCGTCGAGATTACGAAAGTGTGGTGCTGGATTTTGTATTTCCAGGTAATATTCTCTATGTCAGACGAGTATGTGCCGGACTACGTTGACAAAGCCAAGTTACTCAAGCGGTAAGTGTTGCAACATATTTTGCCTCGTCGTGTAATCTGCAACTGGAAGGTTTATCAAGGCTAATTTATCTTTTTTCCTTGCTGACTACAATTCATTTTCTAATGCTCTCCAATATCTGGCTAAATTAGCGTTGTAGGGAAGTATGGGCACGTACCCAGTCTTTTATCGTGCTAAATTATGATTCAGGATAGTTTCCGGAAACTGATGATAAGCTCAGTATAATCCCATTAGAAGACTTTGTGTTACTTGGTGAACTTTTTGCATTACCACCCTCTGCATACAGCAGACAGGTACGCATTGAAAACTGCTGGTGAGTTTGTTAAACCATTGCTACTTTTTGCTCGCTGCAGGCTTTGTGATGCTATGGGAGGAGCGGAGAGGGCGGCTATTCCATGGGGCAATCATAGTTTATCAAACCGCGTTGAGGAAACTGTGCGAACGATGATATCTTTCATCAAGAAAGGTGGACCCAAAGGTTGGGATGATCCTTGGGGTTGAGCCAAGTATGAGCGCAAATGCCTTCCCAAACCATGTAGTTCATGATCCAATGCAGCCAGTGTAAATTTTAAACCTTACAACATTGACTCACGTGTATTTGTTGTGAAGATATTAAGACCAAGATCTTCAAGGCTAATAAACCTATCCCGTAATATGCCATCGGGTTTCCGCATTCGCATTTAAATGTCAAATTTGATTTGTGAGTCTTGTACCTGGAGAAACTTGTTGAGTCAACAGAATGCTATGCTTAGATCCCAAGAAATATACAAGGTGATTTGTTCAATTTTCATATGGAGAGATGTTTATAAGTTAAGGCGCCAAATGGATTGTGTATTGTGGACAAACTCACTACTAAGAAATGTCAAGTGTTATCATGTTTCAAATGTAATAATTTATATAAATATTTTGTTACATGCTAGTAAGAATGACTGTTTGGATAACTGCATAATATTATTTATATATGTATATGTATGTTTTTTATTTTTATTTGTGTAAGAACCGTGAGACATCATAGGATTTCACATCACGATTTAATTATTGTGAAATTTATCGCCTATTGAATTTGAATTTGGGTTAGAATTATTAGGTCTTCTTTTATAAATCATCTATAGTTAATGATTGAATCAACTCATTAGATTTTGTCAAAGAAGACATATGTTTTATTACTATCACTTCAATTCTATAGAATTTTTGCAAAATGGAGTTTGATTCTTGAATACTTCAAAAAATACTAACAAATACTTCAAAAAATAAAATCATGTTTTGTTTGATTTTGCAGCTTTATGTATTCAAGTTTATTTGAAAATGGATGTGCATTTTTGTGCATCTGAAGTACTTTATTGCTTCACTCATAGCATCACATTGATGTAAATCCAACAGGAATCCTTCACTTGATCTTAATGATTTTATGATGCAAAAAGAAGAACAATCAGGATGAGAAAGTCGAAAGCAAAGAGGGATCAAAACGAAGCTCTGGGGATTGATGAAGTAAACTCAGTAATTGAAAATACATGCATAGTGGGTGTAACAACCACTCATCTTTGTTGCTGATGAAGCCACATTAGGGCACCAAAGGAACGGCTCAATTTCAACTGTTGCAGTATTGCAAAAAATCCTACTAAGATAGTTAGACGGGTGCATAGTAGAGGCAATGGCTGCCTCTGACGCTCTATTGGCATTCCGGTTCAGTATCAAGATACTAATATTAGCTGCACTAGGTTTAATAGGTACCATCTTCGAACCTGAAGATGGCATAGAGGCAGTTTTGGAATGAGCCCTAGGTGGATTTGAACAAAATCACTAGCGATGTAAGGCAAGCAATATGTCGGCCAGTTCACTGATTTAGGACAAGCTAACTATGTGGCATCCATAGTGAAAACTTACCTTGCAAGTTAAGATACATATCATACAAAGTCAATATGTTTTTGGAGGTCCTATAGAACTTTGCCACATAGATTCGAGATAGATAGTATATAAACAGGCAAGAGTGAGCCTTCTTTACTCTTGTCAATTCCTTTCTTGCTTCTAGTCTAGTTTCACGAGTCTTTAGATTTCCTTGTCTTTTGGCAATAACCATTCTAGTTTGTCATGTTTCTTTGAGAGAGCCTCACTTGTTTATTTGCTTTCATTAAGTTTTTGTCCTTCAAACCAAAATTTGGCATAGCATCTTCAAATACAAGGGCATAGCTGAGAAACTAAGAAACATGATAACACTTTTTCAAAAAGTGTGAATAGACCAAGGTGTATTTGCAACACAAGGAAACCCTTCACATTAGCCTACCCATGTTAAATTTGGCATAGGATTATATGGCTGATGTACCCTGTTATAGTCACTAGTCCTGTTACTAGGCATTCAGCCATAACATTGTGCCTCGCACTTTTTTGTACTACACCTTGGTGCTCTGTTCTTTAACTCTGGAGAGGACTTCAAGGTTAGGATAATTGCCTTCCAGGCAATGGACCCAGGTTTGACTCTTGGCAGACACAAGCTACTTCCCCACTTTTTTCAATTTTGAGTGATGCTGGAACAACTGTTGCTATTCAGTATTATCTCTGCTTGTTTTCAGTTTTGCTGCAATATCCTTTACTGAAAGCCAAACTTACATGCAATCACAGAAGCTAAATCTCATTCTTTACTTGCTTTTTCCATCTGCTCTTTGCAGTTATATTATCTCTTTGATTTTAGTCTTTAAAATACTGGTTTAGAATCTTCAGAACACGTTTTGGCTAGGAGTCTTACCTGTTGGAGTTGAAGTAGGTATTTCATAAGCTCCAAATGCTTTAGTGCTCTTAAGAATATAATAAAGTTGATCTTTTTAAATGAAATTGCTTCGCTGAAGTACTGTTAGCTGTCTTGTTAAAATGTTAAAAACATAAACTGATGTTGAACATGGGTGTTAACAATTGAAAGTAAATAAGAAAAAAAAAACGTCAAAGTGAAGATTTAATGTAACATCTAAACACATCATAAAATTTCATGTCAAAATATTAAAAAATACAACAACAGAAGTAACAATATATATATATATATATATATATATTTGTAAGCAAAGAATGGAAACTACTCAAATATAATTGATTATTTGTAAAACTTATGATTAATATAACTTAATTTTTATATTTTATGTTTTAAAACTTCATAAACCAATCCAACTTTTTGGAGTAAAATTTTAACCAATAATGTTTCTGTTAAAAATCAGTCATAAAATCAAATAAGCCAAATCAAAAATTAAATATTCAAGTTCTTGAATCAATTTTTTTCTTTGATAAGTTGGGTTCAAAATGTTTTTAGTTTCATGAATTCAAAGTTGGGACATTATCAAGTTCTGATTAAAAATAAACAATAAATTGAAAACACTCCATTCAGTACAAAAGTATGGACCTTATGGGTTGTTTAATGTTTCGTCTAGATTCACAATCTTTGCTAACACAATCCTTTAAAAAAGCTACAAAATAAAGAAATAAATAAAAAAAGATGATTTTATGACGAAATTTGAGCTTTATCAAAAACAATGAAAATCCATTCCAAGGAGATGGATCTGTGGTCAGAAGTTAAAAAATAATAGGTCATCATTAAAATACAAAATTAATGAACCGAAATAGCTTTAAAAATAAGTCTCAGAACATATAATGATAAATTGCATTATCATAAACAACTAATTTAAGATTATTAGAAATCTGATTGGTTGTAAGACTCAGTGTAAAATGCATTTTCTCCAATCTGTCTTAGCTGTGTCAATCACACCATGTACTAAGATTCTTATCCATTACGAAGTGGATGATGCACCACATTCCAATCACCACTTGAAGCAGTCTTCAGTAGACATGTGATTTATGACAGTTATGATCATAGACTGTAAATGAAATTAATGGTTATTAAGGTCAGTAATATGAGCTTTCATAATACGCATTAATCCACGCACTCTAAGGAGATGGATCTGTGGCTGGTTTACTCTGCAACAGTGCTGTAAGAATGATGGTATTTAAACGCTATGATAACAGTGGGTGCAAGTCATCCGATGATTTGCTTCTGTTAGAGATCATCTATAAATCCTGCACAAGATGATGCTACAGCATAGTAATCACAAATTATATCACACTCGTCATTGAACACTAACTTGACACTTCCGTCAGGACTAGTGAGGCAGGAGAGTGCTACTCATAATTTTGCATTTGAAATAGTAAATACAATGAATGTATAGGACAATCCGAGACAGTAACTGAAAGAACTTATTAAAACATAATATTCAAGTTGTAATCAGCAGAATTTGTGAAGAACATTTGCAACGAGCAACCAAAAAAATGACCTCCTTCCAATTCATAGCATGATGCTAGGTGCGTTGGCTACCAGCATGACGTAAAGCCCAATAAAGGCATGCATACCTCAAGAATGGAGGAACAGATCCACTAATCTTACATAATTAACCCAGGATTATAAATAAACCTAAGATGGGATCAGGTTTTCTTCGTGTCAACAGCTAATTAACTCAAGAAATATGCACATTTCCATTCTGTGTGCAGACAGGACCTTTCAGCTTCACTGGTCTTGTATGCCTCACTGCTTCAAAGCACGGAGGCATGGTTGCATTGAGATCGCGGGCGTTAGGAATGACTTCCCTCAAAAACTCTTGTGCCACGTCGCCATCATCGTCTGCACGAAACTCCTTGGCATACCACGTCAACCCCTGCACGGCACAGACAATTTGTACATAGAAACTTTACGTGGTTGAGAAACTTCAACAGAGAGAGGAGACACTACTCTACAATTAATATCCAATCCGACATTCAGCCTCATTAGGTAGGGTCTAAGAAAGCCACGTTGAACAATCAATAATACTGTTATACGTGATTGCAGTGAGCATGAATTTAAATATTTCCCAATTCATTGAAACAACACACGCACAATGGAAATCTTATTTTCTACCACCTAGCGAGAATTCAACTCTTGCACTAAAATTGGATCCTTCGAGTGCAGCATATGTAGACCTTGTTGGGGCAACTGAATATAGGATAAACTGCGGAGGAGACTGCTAATTACTTCCGCAATGTAGCTGACAATAGTGGTTGCTTTGACGTCATAAGAATTGCAAGATGTGTATTGCTCAAGACCATGGCAGGCAATCGTTGAGTTTCAACATCTACACCGCAGCCACAGCTTACGATAACGCTAAGATTTCTCTTTCGAAGACTATCCCACAACATGAATCTATTCAAAGAACGGGAAGTAGGGCACTTTGAGAAGTAGCAACTCACCTGCACTCCACCATTCCCATTACATTGAGTGACAACCGGAGCGTACACAATAGGATCCGCCGGAACGGTGACCCTCCTACTGTAACCTCCTGAACCAGTTCTCTGTTCTGGCGGAACCACTGGAGTCCTCTTCTCCTGAACCTGTTCATCTTTCTCCTCTTTTTTGTGCAAAAAACTACCAAAAATCTTTCTAAAAATCCCAGCCATTTCTCTATCGTACCCTACACGCTTTCAGTAGAGAACGGAATCCCTCTCCAAAACTTCTCTTTCGAAGACTCACAATGAAGAAAAAATCCCGAAAAGGAAAAAAGTATAACACACTCGCACTTAATTCTACGACTAAAACCAAGACAACGACTACACTCCAAAGTCTCTTACACAGACCATCAGATTCAAATCCGTCCCACACCACAACAAAAGGATTCACTGAAACACATTTTAATTCCCCGAAACACCACCGCAAAATGCCACACCCAATCCAAAACAATCCACAAAGTCCCAAAAAAAATTCTCACACAAAACAGACACCTAGTACCCAACATCGGCTTCACTCGAAACCCTAAATCCTACCCACAACACCCCCATCACCAGACCCCACGATCTCCGATTCTACAAAATCCGACATCCCCACCAGCCGCAAGCATCTTCGACCTCTCTGGCACAATTCTCGACCCCAAAACAAGGAAGTTCGTAAGCAAAGTCCCTCGCTACGAGAGCTCGTGATGGGAGGTCTACGCAGCGAAGCTTAGCAAAATCAGACAATTGCAGGGTGTGAAGCCCGGGGGACACGACAACAGATGGTTGGCATCTTCAGGCGCACCGGAAGGGGATCATGCTTGCGATTGGCGATACAGGAGAGACAGCCTCGCTCGCTCGCTCGCGTCTTGGGTTGTGGGCAACGGGATCCCGAGTGGGATTGGATTTGTTAGAGGGAGCTCCGAAAGAAACAAAATTCTCCTTGCTCATGTACAAATTATTTACAAAACATGAGAGAAAACCTGAGTCAGTTATTGAACACTTTTGAAACGTAGATTCAGTTGGGTTTCTTTTTTTTAGAGTGGGAAAGTGGTTGGACTCTGTAAGGAGGAGGAGGAGATCCATCTGCATAATCCATGGCGAGTAGCAATCCAAGCGATTTGAGTTTGTGGGTCCCATCTAGAAAGGTCTTGCAGGCGTCGGAGATGGCATCAGTGAAATCTTTCTTCGAGAGGGAGGATGGGCCCGTTGCTGTCAATCACTCGCGAGCGCGCCCCCACAAGGTCGCCTTTTGAACAGCCTGAGGCAATCAGACGACGGCCAACACTTGCGCATCATCGAAGCTCGAGTTCATGATGAGCTCGAGGAACATTCCAGAGGCGATCGAGTGCTGCTCAACGTAACTTCCCTCCTGCAAAGCGCTTCAGTTCTGCTCCTTGTGCCGCGACTTCGGTTTGAGGCAATATTTTTTGTGGCGGTGTTGAATGCGTGCAGCAACTTCGGTTTGGGCTTCATATGAGAAGGATTTTTACTGTGCGGCGTGGGCTAATCATGCTCCGTGGGCTCCACCCTCCTTGAACTGAACATTTTGCTGCTGAGGTTTTGTAGGTCCCATGGCTGCGGGAATCGAGCATCATTTTTACATCGATCTCTTTTTAATCCACGTTCTTTGACCTAGTGACTTGCAAGATATCTTCACATGATACTCGATGGACAGTGCGCTCTAGTTTTCAAATGATATACCGCAGCGGGATTTTGGTTTGCTCATGAGAATACTGTCAGATCTCTTTTGTTGATTGCAGTGCACGACGTCTCAACCCGAATGTGTTGTGAGCTTAATTAATAAGTCTCTGTCGACCAGACTCATCAGATATGGTTCTCAGATTGAGAAAGGCCCAAGGGAAGAATTCCAGGACCGTGGAGCATGCATAGTAAAGCAATAATTGCAATCCATGTAGTGGGTGAGCACCTGTTTCTATTTTCACGAGTTAAAGTGGCTGCCCAGTTTTACCTACAGTTGTAAGTAACAATCATAATCGAGAACAGAAAAGCCGAATGTTCTGAGGACAACCATTAATCCGTTCATGATCATAGCACGTGATTCATTGGGTGTGATCTAAGTCACCGTCACAAATGCATATGATTTCAACAGAAAGGATGTACAGGAGAAGAGGCCACACGAGAGCATCAACTTGTCTAGTTTATAATCAATGCATTCTTCACAACTCACAAAAAAACACGAACACTGGTTGCTTCGTGGTCATGCAGCTCTGGACTAGCAGAAACCTGAAGATATAAATATTCATTTCCACTTGCAGAAACAGTTGGCACCAAGGAAAGCTTCCCCTTGCAGGATAAACAGCAAATTCTTGGTGGGTGTAGAGTTATCATCTGCAGCGAATGCTTCTCTTCCATTCTTCTGTACATCGTTGATACTATGCTTAGCATTTTAGAAGTGCGAAGACGTGGCTGATGATGGCAGCCTTCCAGTGGCTCATTCAAGACGCCCTTGCGAAACTTGTGTTGAACCTTTATTGGTTGACAGTCCTCAACTTCATCTGAAGTGGAGGGCAGGCTGGACGACATTCGTTCACTGCAGATGATAACTCCCCACTCACGAAGAACGCAGCATGTAAATCCAGAATTTATATGAAATGGAAGGATAGTTGAATAGTTACTTGGCATCTGTAGACATGCAGCGGAAGTTATAGACATGACTTGCAAGCTCTGTGCGTACCAAGGATGATACTAATGGAAGTACATCTGCTGGCATGACGAAATACTCAGATCACCTTACAATGTGAGCATAAGAGAAGGTAATTCATGCATACTAAGTCACTTCTGCAAGATATATTTAAGAGCTATGTTGCACACGAGGTTTATAGAAGCCAATTTGTGAAGTTCCAAAGGTAATTTCCCTTACTAACACCGCTTCGGTTACTTTAACTATATGCCCAGCTTGCCTGCATCTAAAAGGTGGCCAACAGAAGTGCAAGACTACACCATAAAGCGAAATCTGATATTCACCCACTGAAAGTTTTGTGCGTAGAAACAACTCTCTTGATCCTCAACGGGCTTTCAAAGATACATCCAAGGACATCAATAGGGTGACCAAAAATTTCTAAGGGTGGGAGAGGTAGCAGATCCAAAAATAAATTCCTTTTATCATATATTAGCTATACAGTCCACTCAACCAATGCGAGTTCCAAGAGCAACTTCCCATGACGACATACCTGTAATTATTTCTCCAACTTCCTTGAATTTGTGCCAATTCTAAGGCTCAATAATTGTCCGTCCAGGTTGCAAACTCAAGATTAATAGCATCAGAAAGGTCTGCTTTCATCTTCAAATTACCAATACAATTGTGATAAAATACCACGATCTGGAGATTCAAAGATTACTTTAGTCAAGAGAACCATGGAACAGCGTAATGGAGCATGACAGCTGCTCCAGCCTACATCCAGTACATGCATCCAGCACCTTACTACATCAGGAAAAGGCTAGTGGGGATCGAACCCACATCCGAGTGACGAGCTGTCCATCTGCAGCCCTAGCCTTGCACGTATTTCTGTCTTAAGTATTGAAAAACCATACGACAAAGTAAAAAGTTGGAAGAAAATACTTTGCAAAGATAAAACGGACCAAAGAGAACGATCGTAGACATACCTGTATTCCAAGTAGAATAATCAAAATGATTTCAGTAACAGAAGCTACAAAACTTGAAAGCTGAAGCACTCCTACACAATGAGGTATGTGTAAACCCCGACATTACTGTTGAAAACTGAATAAAGCATGCAGATAACAAAAGCCATATTCCTAGACATACTGCAGCTAGAAGAAGCGCTCTAAGATTCTATTGATACAATCAATTTATCTGCTTGGAGGAGAGTGAACAATTTATCCACAAATAACTAAAAATGAAAAAAGGGAGCGGGGGGTTGTTTCAATCAACCGAAATGACCCATCATGCTATAGACAGCAATCTGATACGATTACTGATCGAATTGGAAAGAAACGATCAAAATTGAAGATCCAAAAAAGATCGGTAATAACCTAGTTAACTTTACAGCCAATGAAAGTAAAACAAAAAACAAAAAACAAAAAACAGAAGACAAACAAGAAAATGAGAAAACGAGAAATACAGAACGGAGCAGAACTCAAACCGTAAAACCCAACAAATGTAACGCTACCATCAGTTCAAACCGTTCACTACTTGAGCATGTTGTTAAATGTAAAACCAAACGATTCGTTTAACAGCAAAAATACAATTAAAAGGAATAATTAGTCTCCATAACTTTTCAGTCATGAAATTACTTGACTGAAAACATGGCAATAAACCACTTTGGATCTTTATACATTAAATTTGATAAGAAAAAATAATCTTTAAAGCTTCTTTGTGAAACCTGGTCGATCGGGCCTGGAACTTATCTCATGGTAATCCCATGTCCACCAACATTGTCAACAGAGATCCGTCAATTACTAGAACAATAAGTAGTGCATGGCGTACGCTAGAGTTGATGGATAAAAACGATAAATATTAGAGATTTTCAGAGTCACAGAGATTCAAATTATGGGCATCGGTTATGAAATGACCAAACTTTTTCACCACTAATTTCAACTCTTGTTTTTTGTATTTGCTATCAAACTGTGGTAATATCCCGTTCGAAACTTGAATTCCTCAAAGAAACTAGACCAACAAGCTTGCAACATTATTAAGATAAAAAGGTTAAACTATCACAATTTGCAAAGAACTGGAGAAAAGAAAAAAAGAAAAAAAGAAAAAGTCAAAAGAACAAAATCCGCAACAGAACATTTACAGTAAGCACAATGTTTAGTACTTAAATCTCCCTTCTCACAAATAACCTCTGTTGCCCAATGTAGCACAAACATAATCATCCTAATTGAAAACAACTGAAACTCTTGTATACACTGAACAGTGATCACAGACATGTAGATAATCCAGACATGAAACATCACAGACAAAAAAATTGTTATTGCTGAATTTGTATTCAACATCCAAAATAAAACATCCAAGATTTAATATTCATTCAAAACTCCGATGCCTCTCTCAGACGTGAACCAAACTCGCAACTTTGAACGAAAAGAGGACAATCATTCGAGCATATTTAATTAGGAGGTCTCACAATTGGTCAGTAAAAGAATAGCGCACCTTAAAGAGCAAGAAAGTGAAGACACCAATGCTTACCTTTTAGGTTATGGTTGGAAGGCATGTACATATTTCCTACGGGAGGGGCGCGAGGAGCAGAAGATGTTGGAAGTTGAGGACTTTGATATGACCCATATCCGTAATGACCACCAGCTACCTGCAGCGCTGCTTGCTGAGAAATATACAGTAGATGAGAGAAGTCAGATTTTAAATATACATGTGTTGGACATAGTATTAGGCGAATGCAACGTCAAGTACTTCGGTACAAACTGCAGGTCCGCCAAGATCAACACAGTTATCCCGAATAATACGAACGGCCTCACTCATTAGATGTAATGTAATTAATTAAAATAGACAGTTAAGCATGCAAATTACAGGACCTACACTAAATCGTCATGCGCAATATAAAATTCGTTTTAAATACCTGCTGCGAGGCTGCTGAGTTGGCTGCCGAGCAATAAAGAACCCCATTCATCGAAGAATATGTAGGTTGCCCACCAAGGCCAGTTGGTTGACCTCCATATTGGGACACAGCCAATTGTGAACTGTAAGATCCCATTCCAAGGGATGTTTGTGGGTGACCGGAGTTAAAAGAACCATTTAACGATGAATTCGTTAACTGTCCTAGAGGAGATAATGATGAATTCAATGTATAGTTGAGGGGCGAGTTCAATGTGCTCTTCAGGTTGCTAAGACCTTGATTATGATTATTGAGACCCATGTGACTTCCTTGACTCATTCCTTGATTCACGCCCTGGTTGAGCGGAATTCCAGTAGTTAATGAACCAGTATTCATGGATCCGTACGACATATTTTGTTCGTTTGAGAGGGACGGAGGAGTTGATATCTGCACACAAGAAAAGCCAGCAGAAGGTTCTCACAACAACTACTCTCAGTACCACTTCGTAAAAACATGTGATCAAATGAACACCACATCAGCTTTAAAATACAAACTGGTCCCCGACCATAAGAATAAACGCATTTTCAGATGGACAAGATGATTGATGTAGATTACCTGCTGCCTGCCTAGTATTAAATCATTGTCGCTTTTACCGGGAGGGCCTTGCCTCCCCTGCCCCTGTTTCTGATTCTCAGAGGCAAGCTTACAGTACATTTGAATACCATCTAAAGTCTTGATTGGCTCCAACAATGCCCTCTTTGTAGCTTCAACTGTCTTGTAAATAAACAAAGCGAAACCTCGTGAGCGTCCAGTGAATTTGTCGAATCCTAAGGGACCCTCTCCAATTTCTCCATATCCTGCGAAAAAAGCCAGCAGCCTGTCCGCAGAAAGATCAAGGGATATGTTGCCCACGTAAATTTTTCTCGTTGAAACTTCTTGATTAGGATTTATTTGCAACGCCCCAGTTGATGCCAACTGACAATCTGTCATCCGTCCATCAATCCGCTTGCTAGGTTCCTTCAGTGATCGTTGAGCACCGTCCATGTGTATGAATGTCACAAATCCAAAGCCTCTACTCTTTCCAGTACCCTTGTCCATAACAACCGCCCCCTCCTCCACTTCTCCAAATTGTGAGAATACTGTCTTCAAGGTTTCTGTCGTTGAGTCCCAACCAAGGCCCCTTACAAAAATCTTCCGATGACCAGGAACTTTGTCAGCCACCTTGCGAATTTCCTGAAGAACATCTGCAAAAGTCAAACAGCGACACCCATCGAGAACATGTGAATAAGTTGAACAGTACATGAAAATATATAAACCCATCACTGTATCTCTCGCGTTGAAAAACCACATCCAAAATGAGCTTTAGGACGATAGATAACTCGACGAGGAATAACCTGTATGAACAAGAGCAGCATTTTCCAATAAATCCATCAATCGATCCTTCGTAAATGACTCCAAAAGCTTCTTGACATCCTCCTTAGTGATCACGAAAGAAGGAACAGACACTGTTGGTCCCCCAACTACAGCAGTGTTGTCTTCTTTCGCATTCGTGGCTGGTGGATCTTCCAACTTCCTCTTCTTCTGGTCCATACTGACTTAGATGATTCCTCCTGACTGCAAAGCAGATTAATAACCACTCAAAAAACCAATTTAGGAGAATGATAGTACATGAAGCACACTAAATACAAATGGGCGGATTCGTAGCAGAAATTACACGATTAATACAGTTCCTTAACTCTGAATTGCGAATCCGAGCATATACGTGTTAAGCTAACTATGATGCAACTTAGATTAATTTCACCCTACGCTGCCTTCGACAGGCCAAACCCAGACTCACATCTCAACAGAGCTAAAAGTGCTCACCAATCCTCAACAGCAACCACCAATCCTTCTAGATTCCTAACATGGGGAAGCGCTTCTCCGGACGTCACCGCATGAGTTTCAACCATACCCAACCAAAAACCAGGAACACGCAATGCGAGCCACAAACACACGACCAAAAAAAAAAAAAAAAAAAAAAAAAAAAAACCAACAACGCACCGACCTACAAGACCCTTTCCTCGAAAATCCTAGCGCACATAACAGCAACAACCAGAGCTAGCAACACCGAAACATAAACATAAACCTCAACCACAAACCCCCACCGTCAAAATTGAAAATGGCTATCTATAAAACCACCCAGGATTCAGGGCCAAAACTCATGAAAAATAGGTGTCGACACACTCATTGTCTTATAAGAGACATGCGAAAGGGGACAGAGAACGTGCCTCCGAGGAGAGTCAGGAGCAAGATGCAAGTCGTGATTTGGAACAGCAATTACGAGAAGGAGGAGGACGAGGAGTTCGTCCCTGTGAAGATAGCGGGAGAGAGAGAGGGTGAGAGAGTGAGAAGCAAAAGCTTACATGAAGGAAAGGAAAAAAGCAGGATTAGGGTTTCTGTGGACTCAAGCTCGACACCGACGCTGGGGGTTTGGGCTCAGTTTCTAGGTTCGGACATGAGGCTCGGTACAAGGGTCGGGCTTGGGTCCTCTTCCTAATTCCGCGTGGTCGTTTCATGCTCTTTGGGGTTTCGATGTGGGAACATGAAGAATTAAATTCTTTAGCAACCCCCTTCACGGGTTTGTATAGAAAATGTGATTGGTTATTATTTTAATTTTTAAATTTTTAAATTTTTAAAATTTTAAGGAAGATATTTAATTTTCTTATTATTTTTATAAAAAGAATTCTTTATAGTTATTTGATAATAAAATTGAAGACAAAGAAAAAAATAAAATTGACATGAAATACTATATGATTTTGGTAAGTTGTGAAATAATTCTATTTTATTTGAAATTAAATTTAATTAAATTATAAAATTTATTATAAATGGCAATGAAAGAAAGAAGAAAACAAATTGATGAATTTTAATGTTGTTGATAAAATGAAGTTAGTTTATCTGATTTTTAAATAGACAAAGATAATATATTTTTTCTTTCCTCAAAATTTCTTTTATTTCAAATATTCACCTTTTTGTAACAGAAGCTATAGATTATTACACATTGTATGATAAAAATAAATAAAATAAATACAAGATAAAAGAAATTATGAATAATGTATTTATTTTTAGTTTTTGGAATTTTCATAATAAAATTATATTCTTCAAAAAATTATGATTTTTCATTTAAAATTTGAAAATATCTTTAATATTTAAAATATAAATATATATATTCTTTAATAATTTTATCAATTTTAAAATTATTTATTTTATTTTTTTGATTTAATTTTGTTTTAATTATTAATATATTATGTTATTTTGCTATTGGATAAGTATTTATTATCTATTTTGAAGCTTTATTATAAAATATACAATCAAACAAATCTATTTCTTTGTTGTATTTTTGTTGTGATTATCCTAAATTAAGAAAACAAAGCCTATGTATGTAGAATCATAGATGGTTGTTTACTCTCTTTTGGAGATGTTAACTATAAAACTATCCTTTTAGATGTAGTAGCTAATGGTCATAATATCTTTAATGAAATTCAATATTATTAGATATTTTTTTAATGGAATCATTTTATCATGGTTAAAAAAAATATAACATTCATATATATTGGATTTTTATAGTCTTGACTATTTTTAAAATATAATTAAGAGTTTTATAAACCGAGTAAAAAGTCATAAAGCCTAGTGCAACCAAGTCCTTATTTATAAGCATGAGAGCTTTTATGTATGTTACAAAAAAAAAAAAAAAAAAAAAAAAAACACATTTTTGTATTCATGCCACATTCATTTCTAATATTTAAAAGTCTTCAATTAGCATTTCAAGCCATCTTCTAAATAATGTTTTTTGAGAGCTTTTAGATATTTTTATTGTTTATTATTCTTATGGATATCTAGCAAGAAGATTTTAAGAATATTCTTAAAATATTCTATCAAGTTCTAATAAATTTTAAAATATTTTAAAAAGATTCTTAGAAAGTTCTAGAAGGATTTTAAAATATTCCAACAGCTTTTTAAAAGTAAAAATAAATAAATAAAGTTATTTAAAAAGCTTTTTAAAGCTACTTTGTCTTCAAGAAATATAGAAACTTCTTAAGAAGCTTCTGAGAATTACTTCCTTAATATGATGAAAACTTTTTAAAAAGCTTTTTAAAGTTGCTTTGTCTTTAAGGAATATGAGAACTTCTTGAGAAACTTCTTAATACCTAATATATATTAGAGTTGAAGCTAAGAAGATCTTTACTCTTGACAATACATCTCTTGGAGCTCCAACTCACTTTTCTTAGTATTGATCTTGTACTCATCTCAATTACTTAAGTTCTTGCTAATTTTCTTATTGAAATTCTTTTGTTCAACTTCTTATTTAGTCTTATGTACAAGATAGCCGTGCTAGTTTGTTAAGGCTGTCTTTTTATCAATATTAAAGCTTGATCTTTCTTGATAGAGGGTGGATTATCCCTCGTCTTGAAGTCATCTAAGTACTTTAAAGGTTATGGAGTATCTTCTTTTAAACTAGTATTGTTAAGAAACTCCCTTTTATCTTTCAAGATGGTTGGACGTGAAGATGTTAGTATAATTGAATCTCCTTAGTCCAAGTTAGATATTATTTATAAATATATTAAACACTTTATCTTTTAAAACTGCTAAAATTAAAGAAATTTATGTAAGATTTTATTGTGATACAAGACCTAGAGCAATTCAATCTATAATACAATCACTTTTTCAAGCTTCTATATCTAAAGAAGCACTGATACTTATATCTCAATAAGAAAATTTACCTATTCAACAACATAAAGAGCCTTAGATAAGTCTTCTAGAAAAGTTTGATGGTACATGCTGTAATTTTAAAGTATTTGTTAATTAAATTTAATTAATAACATTTCTACAACTTCAGCATTATCTAACAAAAGAGTCGTGAGTTGGTTTAGTTGGAACTTTACTCATAAAAAAAGTCTTATTTTTATTTATTTCTTTAATTGAGAAAAAAATCTTCAATCTTAAATAATTTTGAAGCTTTTTTTTAAAAGATTTGTAGAGGCATTTGAAAAATATGATAAGGCCCAATAGGCAATAACAAAGATTTGTTTATTACGTTAAGGGTCATGCTCTGCATTAATTTATGCATCTGATTTTAGACAATTGACTTGTAACATCAATTGGAATAAATAAGATCTTATGAGCCAATTCTATTAGAGACTAAGAAATGATGTAAAAGACCTATTATTATCATTACTTAATCTTCAAATTCTCAATGAAATTATTAATCAAGTTGTAAAGTGTGATACTCAATTATTTCAATATTTTCAAGATCAACGCTTGTGAACTTTGACAAAGCAATGTACTAGAAATTTTGATTCTATTATTTCAATAAATATATTACTTCTACACTTTGAAACTAAAGATAAGCAAATTAATGCAATACAATTCAAATATCTTACAACAAAAGAGATGAAGCATTGTTAAGGACATGAATTGGAAGAAAATGCATAAATTTGAAAAATCAATGTCAAAAGAAAAGCGAAAAAATAAGAATAAAATAGTATGTATATTAAAAAGAAATTAGAATGGCTATTATCAAAAGATAACGAATGTAGAGACTCTTAAATCTAAACTAGAAGCAAGAAAAGAGTTGAGAAGAATAAAGAGGGCTTTACTCTTGCCTCTATAAATACTATTTAACTAGAAGCTATATAACAATGTTCTATAGGACCTCTAATATGTGTTGACTTTCTAAGACACATGCCTTAACTTACAAGGTAAGTTTTCTATATGTGTGGTACATAGTTAGCTTATTCTTCAAGCTACTAATATGTATGGCTTAAAGCCAACTTGTTGACTACATTTCTAACCTAATAATTCAATCATAGATACCTATAAAATCAAAGCAACATCTATAAAGGTTCTCAAAAGCTTTTATAGAAGATATTATGAAATTAATCTATTTTTATCTATTTTTATCTAATCATATAGATAATTATTGGTTTACATATGTATATTTGTGACATTATCTCTCTTCTAAGAATAAATTCCATGATGAGTGGTCATCATATATTGAAAAAATTCAAGATGCTGTAAACTATATTTGCCATATACTTTGAAGATGGTTGATAGGGCCTCTCAACTATCAATAGTATCCCATACCAGAGCAAAAAGACCACCAAATTATTTGATCATTGTTAAGGCCTTCATAACTTCTATCAAATAAAATATTTGAAACACCATCAAGAATTATTTCTATCTTTAATAAAATCACCATACATTGGAAGTCGTTTCCAAGGTTGTGGTATCAAAAACATTGTATCTTGCCATCTATTTGAAGAAGAACATGTCATTCTTAAAGATCTTCATTTTGATTGTGTTGTCTTTAAGGTTGTGACAATTGCAATGTCTCATCTAATAAGCGAGCAAATGAAGGCTCTTGAGTCAAATCTACTAATTATTAATTCTCCATTTCTTTAGTATCACAAATACATAGAAACCACAAACAAAGATAGAAGTTAGAATGCAATCTTCTTTAGACCTTGTTTCTTTTATAGCAAAGACTTATTATTCTTTATCTTTGTTTTGATGGATGTCGTTGATGAAAAGCCTCCACTACCTTTGTTGCATTTGCAAGATTCTTTATTGGCTTCAATGTGCATTCACTAATATCATATTTGTACCAATGGATAAGATATTGCAATTTATTTCAGCATCGCCATGAGTCTAGAACTTCTTTTATTTCAAATTCTTTATTATTGTCCACTTCTGTTGGAGGAAGTGGAGCTTGTCTTCTTCTTAGTATGTTTACAATCTTGTATGGTTCAAGAAGAGACATATAGAAAGTATGATAGATCTTCATTGACTCTAATAGATATAATCAAAAAGCAACTGGATTGATTAGTCCACAAATGAAAAAAGATCCAAGCTTGCAATAGTCTAATTTATCATAAGGATAAGTAGTCTTGATATTATAATGAAATAACCATTCCTTGTCATATATATTGAATTGTGGTTATTCCTTTCAATAGGCATCGACATTGATCTTTGCGTTCTTAAGCTTCCTTTAATTG